TATTGTGATACTTTTTTTTAAACCTTACCTCTAATAGATTAATAATTGACACTACGTAAGAAATTTAAAAAAAAAAATAAAATTAAGTTTGTACAAATATGTATTAATTTTGCATTACTTGTCATCGACTTCTCATCCAGTATTTATTGTATTACTGATGGTGAGCATCGTGTAATTTTCATTCACATAATATGTTAGAGAGCTTTAAAGATAATGTTTACGCTCCGATTAAGTAATCGCCTTCACACCAACTCAGCGGAATTATTGTTGGCAATACCAAATGAGGATGCTTCTTCCACTAACTACCGCCCAAGTTCAAGCGGCCGGCTCGTTTTTTCAGCTGTCATTGAAAAATAAACTTTCAGTTTAGGCATGCCAAAAAAGGTATTTTCAGGTACAATACTTGTACGGATAATGAGTTTAAATAAAGTATAACAAGTAATCGCTTTTTACACCTACTGGCTCCGTTTACAACAAATAAGGTCGAAATGATCAATAATGGTACGTAAACAAAGTAACGACTATAACAATTAAATTTGTATACTCAATTTGTATAGTATTTTTTCTTTTTTTAAGATATCAATGATTATTTTATGTAGCTAATCATCAATTCTATATTCTTTATAATTTCAATTCCATGTATTCGGCGTAGAATAGCATTAATTTAATCACACGATTTAAAAATTATAATTTTATTTTTTTGCTATATTTGAAAAAATGGATGTGTATAATATTTAATTAATATTTAATTGGCACAAATACAATACTTATATATTTTAATTTAAGTTTAAATATGTTTAGTTAATTTATGTTTGAACTTACAAAAATAAATCAAAACTTATATTGATTTATAATACGTATTACAAAATTAAAAAAATTTCAACATTTTTATATAATCAGTTAAGTAATATAATTCATAAAAATAATGCATAGATATCGTTTATCAAAATTTTATCATTTTAGAATCTGATTTAAAAAACTTTGTCTTTATCTCATCGTATACGTATACCGGTGAGATGGAATCCTAAACATTTTCAACATGTTAGTTTTTTTAAGTGCAAAATAAATGTATATTCAATAATTTAAATGTACTAATAAAAACGATGACAAAGTAACGACATCATAATTCATACAACATTAAAAATCTAATCACGTATTTGTGACAATGAAGCGCAAGACAAATGCCTTTATTGTATACTACCAGAAACAGAGGATAGCCGAACAAGGGTCTCTGCGGCCCAGAAAAAAGCTGGTTTCTTGAAAAAGCAGAGGCTTTGACCGGTATAACAGTGAAATCTATTTCTTCAGCGCACAAGCCATATCAGCAACGCCGAATCCTACGAGCGACAACTGAGCCTCCTTTTTTTAACGAGATATATTAGTACAATATTTATTCGGATTCACGTGCTTAGAGTCACCTCATTAAACTACAGCGTAATATGGTAGCTGCGAGTCAGGTAAGGTGCATGGTTATAATATACTTTATATTATTATTATAATTCATGTAAAAATTTTATATTACTGTATACTTGATATAATTCTCGAATACCCAACCTCGAGAGCTCTACAAAAATAGGGAGAAAGGTTAGGTATTCAAATATGATAAAGTTTGTTTTTAATAGGTACTATTATTTAAATTAAGATAAAAAGTAGAGCCAAACTATGTGTAAATAATAAATATATGTACTATTTTATTTTTATTATTATGCCAACTCAACCAACAATTCCAAACCAAATATTATTAAAAGTTAACCATTTTAATTTAAGTATTATAGTATTTTTTTAATTAAATTTACTATAAAATTAAACTGTTGATATGTTTTTAATGATGAATTAATAAGTATTTAAATTGTAAACAAAAATATTTTAAATTGAAAATAAAAAAATTGTATGATTATTATAAATCATTAAAACTTTAAAAACTACAAATTGAGAATGTTGTGAATTATTTCACTCAAAATAAAATTCATCGTTTTACTCAAATTATCCAAATACATTTACCTCCATTGATGTGCTTCAATAATTTTTGTGTTAGATATACGTAATTTCATTGTGATCCAATATGTAAAGAAATATTAAAAAAAGAAAATTTTATCAAAAAGAAAATGCAAGACTGCAATATTGGTTTTAGACGAGTTCAATACTCACTGTGTAATAACTCACTAATATCATTATCCTTAAAATTAATATCATACTCGAGTATTTAAATAAAAATCCCAAAATCCCAATTATAAATTCGAATTAAATATAAATAGATATTCATAATTTTAAAATATACCTACTTATGAAAAATGTATCATAAACGTTTTTTTAAAATAATATGTTATTTAATTATATTTAAAACGGTTCATCTTTATTATCTATAGATATATTATAATTGAAAATATGAATTTTTATTAATTTTAAATTATTTTAAATTTTTAACAATATCAACTACAAAATAATTATGCTTTTAAAAAAAAATCATGACGTATTTTTAATATTTTTAAACTGTTTTGAAAATGACTTACGTAAAATTTTAACCAAATTAATTAAATCGTATTTTTATCACACTTCCGTCAAACATATTTTGCACTTACATAGAGTATAATATGATCGACTAATAAAAATATACAAAAACATAAAAAAAAAATCAAATTCTACTATACTATAATAGTACACGACATAATGATATGTAAGTACACAATAAAATAGCGGTTTCGTCCAAAAACACTTGTCCGATTTTCGCCAGACGAATAAGTTTTTATCTCCGCCGAATAAATGTCCTTCACAAATGCTTACGACGGCCGATTAGTGTATATAACTGGTACTGTGTTTTTTCGTCTCGCCGTTTCACTAAATCCTACACGCATATATATATATATATATATAAATACACATATTATAATAATTAGGTACCTAGTCGACTGTTATATACTTGTATAATACGATAAAATGGTCAATAAAAGTGAAACAAACTTGACATAATTTATAAAAACGACAATAATAATAGTAAACAATGTATAATACCGTAAGCGGCCCACCCATGGATATATTCGATGAGTTATTAAACGATAGATATAAAATACAATTAAGGACCTTAACCTGTCGTCATCTACCAACCAGATAATCTCTATAATGTATATTGTCCGTATAATTGTGTGTGTCGGGACGTTTTTTTTTTTGACATACCCACACAGTAAAATTGTATTTTCGGTATATTGTGGAAATATTGTCAGAATATCTCTTTAGATATTGTCAAAACGTTTACTAAATTAATTAAAAAATATAATTATTATATTCCTCTAATTTTATTTTACTTCCAAGTAAAACTATTGACGCACATGACACAATATATAAACACATTTCATTTAATCCCAAATTATTTGAAGCCAGAAAAAATATACACAGACTTTGAGTCGCATATTGAACCGTTATTCGTATAACAGCTTTGTAAGTATAGCCTAAAGCTGAGCTAAAGGGCTGTCGGTTTCATTTTGGTTTATCCAGATGGAAGAAAACAATATAAAGATTATGTCTGTCGGATTAATTTAAAAATACAGATTCCGAAACAGGACAAACATTGAAATATTTTCTTTGTTTATCTTTATTTGTTCCCGAAGGGCGAAGAAGTTAAACATTGTCAAATGATTGATTTAATGAAATTAAAACCGATAAATAGAAAAATTTACGAGATTTCAAAAACAGATCTACATTGAAATAACCCAATAATAAGCAATAATAATTAAGGATCACCCTAGTAAATTATAATTTACAGATAAGTACGATGGACTTTTTATAATATTTCAATTTAACGCGAAATATGTTTTTAGGATGTATGAACGAAGTACCTCTATACTACTTTTATTTTTTGGTCGTAACCAATTTCGCATAATGCTATTATTATTGAAATCTGATACTATAGTAACTGAATAACCATCATTTTTAACGATGATCTAAACATTGATTTAAAATCTACTTGTAGCCAATAATTAATATGGCTTATTCCAAAAACATATTTTTCTATTATTTTCAATTTTCCTTGCAGAAGAAAAATATCTAGTAACATTCTACTATACTGCTTTGTGTGAAAAGCTTTTTATACAGTTTTAAGCTTTTTTTTAATTAATTAGGTACCTAATAAGTATGTAAAATGACACAAACTAAAAATAATCATCGTGTCACAGAAATACTGAAATATCGTAAAAAACCCATCGTCTAAACACAAATATGAAATAATGTTCTTAACTTTAATGTGCGTTAAAACTTAAGTCAGTATAGGTTCTTCTGAGAATTTTGTATTAATCTAACAATTAAAAATTAATCTAATGGAATCATATTTGCAAAGTTCTCAAGACACTATTTCATACGCCATATATTTGTATCTACATTTATTATTACGTGATTATATTTAAGTTTGAACGAATCGTCAATTATCAAATTATCATACACCAAAGAGAAATGTTACTTTCAAGCTGTTCATAGATAATTATGCTAGACAATCTAATTATAGATGAATCGTCAAATCCATAGTGTCGAATATTTTTAAATCCACCTTGCTTCCGTGGATCGTTGTACATATATTTTAAATAATGATTATAATGCCTATCTATTATAATACGCTTACCAAGCTACCTGCAGCTATTGATAAAATAAATGTTTTTAATTGATTAAAATAATAAAAATAAATGTATTTCTGTATAAAATATTTAATTAAACTTTGATAAAATTGTACAAAAGTCCACAACTTTCCTTTTATTATCACACATTACGGTACTGCTACATTCCGCGTAATAGGAGTTGATCTGTACATTCGTTTTTAGAACCACAGCACTTAGATTAAGTGTAGTTGTACAAGATTTTAGCGGTATTTGATGCTCGTGGATTTCTTATATTCCAATAACTAAGTTTATATATGTGTGTGTGTGTGTGTGTGTGTGTGCTTCTACTTGACTTTTAACAATCATCTCTAACGATAGTATTTAATCTGTTGTTTAATTTCTTCTACGGAATGTTGCTGACTAGTCTAGTATTTTCCTATTATTTCTTATTCTCCCTGGTAATGGTCCAAGAGTTCCTGCTTTTGTTTTCTCCATCAATATAGCCACATATTTAGTTACAGCACCTGGTAACCATCTTGTCTAAAAACGATTATAAACATTTTATAGTAACTAGTAAGTTGCATAAATATTTTGTTCACTGCATTAGACATTAAGCTACAATTGTAAAAGTATAATTATTGAACTTGGAAATATATTGAATAGAACTTTACTGGTCTTATTATTACATTATATCTCTATTTAACTGATAATATGGTTTCTATGACACAATAATCAGATTTATGTAATTTATACAAGCATAAAAAAACATTTTGTAGAGTCAATGTTGTAGTTATAGCCTATAGGTATAATTGCTAAATATATAAATCAATCAATGTAAATTATTCCATCTTAATATGGTTATTATCATACTTAACAGGTCTTACTTCATGATTTTAAATTGGTCAGGCCTATCAGAAATATTTGATATCTACTTATAGTCATGCTAATTTCTGACGTTAGCTCTCTCTTTGTTGTTTATTACTCTTTAACAGATTAAAAAGTACCTATATAGTTATATATTCAATTTTGTAAATTTTTATAATTTTCCAATAATTGTATACACTATGCTAATTTTTAAACAGTGAAATACCTACTTTAAATTTGCTAAAATATAATACTACCAAATAAATGCAAATAACCTTTCCTCTTCCTCATCAAATACAATCAATACCTAGGTAAATATATAGGTATTATTCTATCAATCATTCTTTATATCGCATCTTAACTTAATAAAGCCAATAAGAAACTTAAGATTTATTAAACAACATTTTTCGGAATTCTCAAAAATTTAAATAATTAAAAGTTATATACTTTGCATTATAAACCCAATATTGTTATTAGATTTTTGAATATATAATTTTGAATCCTAGCCAAGTTTGGTTCATAGACAAAATTCAAAAAATTCTGAATAGATTTCATTGTATGATTAATAATAAAATAAATAGATATGTAAAATCATTCATTCAATGAATCTGGTGTCACATTATGTAGAACTGAGTTACTAAAAAATAGATTCACAATAGCTAATGTAAGATGTTAATATAAATTTATCAATGAAATTGTGTAAAAATTAGAAAGATTCTTTTTAATAGTTACTTACTAAAAAAATGTTTAAAAAAATAATGAAATTTATTGATTAAGTGTACACATGCAGGTATATAATTTCTGTAAAATACCGAACGGAAATTTTTGTAGGTAAAATTTGGGATCTAAATCAGTCAACTTTCTAAAATAAAATGTCTATTTTATTATTTAACTACCTTTTTTTTTTTTTTATAATTTCAAACAAAAATCATACAGAAACACGTAATTTAAAATCTTTTTAATACCTAATTAACAATCGTTGTATTAACTTGTATATTATGACCTTTGTGTAATAATAAAAAATAACTAATAAGTCAATAACACTAGGTACTTACTCCATAGTTTTCCAAGTTCAACAAATATCCTCTATGCTTGGGTGTTGTGATTGGTGCTTGAATACAATCTTTGTGGCCAAGAATGACGGGAGGATGAATAGAAGACAAGTAAATCATTCTGTCATTAGCCACAACTTTTTCTAAAGATTCATCTCGACGTAATATTCTAGAACAGCACACACATTTTTTTTTTTTCTTCAGCCGGTTTTTCTTAATATTTTTGTTTTTTGTGTTAGTCAAGAGTTTAACCCCATTTAAATTAATCAATTGTTTCGACATCGTTTTATAATTTATTCTTTGTAAAATTTAATTCACTTTATATTTAATTTAAAAAAAATAAATAGTTTTCGATTTTAAATTATTTAGATTAAATTAGGTTTTATTTACATTTATGATGCGTTGCCATATAGAATCGAGTACGAGCTATATGTTTTGAGTTGATAACGATAAACATTTTAAATAACTACCTATCTATATCTATCTATTTAGTTTCTGATCATTTGTTTTATAATAATAATAAATGCAATCATATGAATAAACACCCTCAGGGTATAATGCATAGCACGATTCAAGATACTAATCAATCAACAAAACATTATTTATGCCCAATGGGCAATGTTTATCATTAGTTATGGCCTATGAGAATCATATCAAACACTCAAGGACCTTCAGTATAGTTAAATAGTATATTTAATACAATATATAGTTGTTTTATTTCGCCCGGAAGCCAAAATTTAATTTTTTTTACAATTTTTATTTATACTTCCTGATATTCGTATCTTTCAAAGACAAATTTAATAGAATAAGTTACTTACCAAATACCTGAAATACCTACTAAGTATATGAAAACTTCACTTCAATACCTTATACATTTTTATCCTATTTCACTTAATTTGAAAGTTGACCTATTATGTATTATACCTAATGTGAACCCAAAAATTATGAACACAAATATATGAATTTCTTTGTATAAAATAATGTGATGAATTAAAAAAGGGTAAATGGAATAGATGGGTTAACAAAGTACCTACCTAATATAACAAAATTATATTTAGGAATTATAAATTTATTTGTATTAAGTCTAATTTAATACCATATACTTGTCTAATATTTTTAGTTCACTGCATCTGTTTAATCACTTGATGTGACAATTTATTGAAATTTAAATTTTTCAAATTTATATTGAAATTAATAAACGTTTAATTTTAATCGATAATGAAAGAATAACAATTGCATATAAAATATGGTAAATCGTGATAAAATTATAATAAATTATTAAATTCTTTAAATACCTAATAAATTGTATAAATAAGTAAGTTTTTTTTTTTTTTAATACTACTTATAAGTACATAGGTACTTCGTTCTAATTCATTTTTTTTAAACTAATAATAATTTTATGTACTATATTACTATGTTGTATAATTTAAATAAATCTTATTTTAAGTATTGTAAATATTCTTGTAAATAATATGAATAGTAAATTTTTCAAACTTCATAATAATGACCCATATTAAAGTCAATATCTAAAAACTAATTAAATCTACCTATGTGTAAGAGTAGGATTATAGAGAAAAGTAAAAGATAAGACAACTAATAAATATAATATTTGCCTGTTGTTCATAAATAATAATAATATTTTTTGTCATCAAATAATGGTCCCTACTAATTCTACACTAAATAGAAAAATTGTGATTCCTTTGATTCAATTCTCTTTCCAAAATATGTACCAGTATTATTTTCACAACTTTTTGAATAATTCCATAAAAATGTTACAACTTAAATAAGAATAATATAATATTCTTGTAAAATAATCACTAAAGTCAGTGTCATTAAGAAAAACTCTCATTGCATACAAACAGCAATTGATATTTTCAACTCAAAATAAATTTTGAGTAAGTACCTAATACATAATAATATTTTTTCAAACACATTTATGTAAGGATTACAATTCTAGTACCTTTTACCAATAACTTGTTAAGAATAAGAATAATATTAAGAAAATTATTTTGAGTATTGTAACATAAAAGTATTTAAAAATTAAACTTAAATATCAAATAATATAGATAAACTATAGTAAGAATTTAAAATTTTGATGAGTTGTTCATTAAAAAAACAAATAAAATGACTAAAAGTTCAGTATTATTTATGTTTAAAAATAAATTAATGAAAAAATGACACACTATTAATAAAAACAATCTGAAAGTTATCAATATAATTAATTATATTTCTATAATCATTAACCCTTATAATAGGTACATTTTATATAATATAATATATTATTATGGATACAGTCGTAAATCATAATGATTTAAATAGAAACAACAACTTCAAGTTAGTAATATGTTTTTTTTTAATTGAATACAGTTGAAATATAATTCTATTTATTTATTTTCTAAATAACTTTTTTAAATGTCACATTAATAATACAATGATTAATATTTCGTTTAAATATTGATGAAAATATTGCTATAAAATCCATAAAATATGTAGTTAAGTATGCAAGTATTGTGATGGATTTAATAAACTATACTCTTATGTATTAATTTAGTAGGGTAACATATTTTTTGCCAATTCACAACAATTTGTAGCAATTATAAGTTACAATGAATATTAAAATAGTTAATAGTCTAAACTTATAACTAAAACTATAGATAATAATCAATGTTTAACTATGACTTAATATTCAAAAGTCAAACTATTTGATAGATAATATGTTTTTGCCTATATTTCATGAAAACAGCTAATTTCTAAATGCTAAATTCAATTAATATGGTTTATTAAAAATAACAATATTTCTATAAAAAAAAAATGAACAAAAAGCTTCCATACAGTTTTTATAATTTAAAATATTATTATTATTATAACTTTATTAAATAACTTATGTATTATAGTAAATTATTTTGAAGAAAAAAATCTAAATTCTCTATGTATTTGTACTCACATAATTGATATTATTAATAGTTAAAAAATGATAAGTACAATTCATATTTTATTCATTTTTAAATCAATCACTGATATTTTATAAAACGATAAATATTTGTTTATGTTATGAAAAAAAAATTATTATTTTTTACTTGTTGATATTAAAGATATGAATAAGCTATCAGATAATTAAAGAACTGTTTTTAAGTATAAAGAATTTAATTACTTTTGCTTATCAGAGAATGTTACCAATAAATAATTAATACATGCATATATTATATTTTTTTAAATTAAGCTTTGACAACTATGACCATTTGCTGAGATATATTTTGTTACGATAAGATATGATACGTTATGTTTTTTGAAACATGTATTCTTGTGCAATAGACATGACTTCGTCGCTAAGAACTTGGGTGATTATCCATCCGAGAGTTAGCAATGCCAGATGGTGTTTAACCACCATTTAGCAACTGTGACCAAACACACATTATGCTCCATTTGATTAATACGATTGAAGGAATAAATTAATTATTCAATTCAAATCCCTATTAACTAGAAACTTTATTTTTTAGTAGAATATACAATATGGATTGTACATATCTGTAATGCCTAATAATATATAATTTTTTTTTAACACATTTCTTTACTATATATCATTTACTTATGAATACATTTTAAATGTAAATAATGATAATATGAAATATAACATTTTCATAGTTTTTATTACACTTTAATAATTTAAGTCGGAAAAACAATAACGAAATTGTGAACATATTTGTTTTTATTTAATTAATTAATTTTAAGAAAATAATTTTGTTACTTGAAAAATTATTTTTTTTTTTTAATAATATTAATTAAAACAAAAGGTAATTTTTAATTTTGTTCTATAATGCTTAATTATTATTTAATGAAATAATATTAATAAATAATTATATAAATAGTCATTATTAAAGATTACCATAATACATAAACTTGTTTATATTATAATATGAAAAATATTTTATATCAATTCCAGGAACATTTAAAAGGGATATTACGATGCAAGCATGGTTTTTTTTTAATAATTAAAATTAATTAAATATCTAGGAAAAACAATAATTATAAATAAACAAAATATTTAGAAGTAGTTTAAGTTACTTTTAAAGTAACCTAAAACTTATTCACCATAATAAATAACTTCAAAATTATAAATTAATAATATTGAATATAATTATTATAAAAATGATTCAATAGAGATTCTGCAGTCACTTTTTAATTGTTATATCTATATTTTAGCAACAAAAATTTCAATACTCGATTAAAAATTATTTTAAAACATGACAACTAAATTAATATACATTAATGGCATGCAATAAGATTAAATTGTAAGAGTTGAATAAATATAAAGATTATCCTATTTGAGGTTTTTAGATATTTAAGTGAAAATCTATTATACAATTGAATGGGGTGAAAAGTAGAGGAATACCATTAATGAACATCAATTTATCTATTAAGAGATACATATTGAATTAATTAAATAATTTTGCTGGACCTGATTACCATAGATAAATGAGTATCATCAGTTAGGAGACCACAGTATATTGGAATGCATGTGGATAGTGATTGTAATAAAATCACTAGGGAACCAATAAATTATTTTTAATTGGTTTTAGTGAATTCTAAGGTTGGGTTGGTTATATATAAATAAATATTATATATTCCACTAATGTTATACATGTTTCATGGCTCTAATGTGGATGCTGTAGTTTTCATTTGTTCTGCTGGTGCCCTATAACAAGTATTTAAAAATAATTATTAAAATTATTAAACATTTATAAATAAATTTTAAACATCAAAATTAATTTTAAAATTTCAAGTAATTCACAAAAAGTATATTTGATTTTAACGTGCAATTTTTTTAATTGAAATTTTAAAAAAAAAACCGTTTCTACATTTAATATTACTGCAGTAAAATACATTTTGGGTTACTACAGTAATGAATCATGAATACTAAATCTATAAGTACATCAAAATCCTATTTAGCTATTTAAAGTGCATATTTTATATGGAATGATTGGAGCGGATGAACTACCATTAAAATAAGCAAAACTAATACACTTTAAAAATCTAGTTCAGTTTGCCTTAAGTGGGACGCCACACATCTGGATCTTCCATTAAAGTTGTGTGATGTCCGCCCATGGGTTGAGAAACATTATCAACAGGAGAAGCAATAGCTCCCATGTCTTCCCTAGATCCTCTACTTAGTAGTAAGTATTGTAACAAACACAAAGTTCACAAATATTGAACATCTTATTTATATAGTTATTAAATAAAATGTGTAGATAAAAGGTAGATAAAAACTTACTTTTTCCCAACTGACATGAGACCATACAATAAACCAGTACAAAATACTAAAGCACTGGCTATTAATGTACTTGGACCAAAACATAGAAGCATTGGTACTAATGATAACCTGAAAAATAACAATTTAATTTAATACTGGATCGAACAATATTTAATAAATTTTTAAGTATTAATCAATATGTCTGATATCTTACCCAACATAAACAATAGCTCTAGTCCAGTAAGGTTTATTTTCAGCAACATCACTGACTTTCTGCATATAATCAATAAATACACAAAGAAAAGGTGCTTCTAACGCAATAAGTAAAATACCAAGTAGTCTAAAATTACACACAACTTAGTTAATATAGGTATACAATTTATAAAAAAATATTTAATAATTACTACTTGATAGTACATACAGTTGTAAAATTCCACCAAATAAACAATCTGTGTTTAAAAAAATTAATCCTAGTCCATTCCAAATACCAGTGAATAAATTGACTAAAAAGACATAATAATAATTTAAATTATTTATGGTAAAATATGTAACAATTATAAGGAAATACATTGTACTTTATAATAATACATACCAACGCCTGCAAATGTTCCTAATGTTCTACTACCATATTTTAAGTGCCAAGGAATTTCATCCCTATTTTCACCTTCATCGCTGGCTCTTTTCCAAAGATTTGTGACTTTATCTCCCATAGACTATAAAAAAAAAAAATTATTAATTAAATAAACTATTACATTTCTTGTAAATGAATGTACATGAAATATTATATTATTTTTGATTAAAATAAAAAATTAAATACATGTTTTCCTAAAATATTTAACCATTGTATAATATACCTTTATAACAAAATAACATAAACCAATTTAAAAAAATGTGATCCTCATATTATGATAAAAAATTCATCTCTCTACTGACTTCTATAGATACATTTTATGCCTACATTAAGTTTTTAGGCCAAATAAAATCAATACACATTATTTCTAATTTACTTGTTTAGTGTAAAAAATCATAAAATTGAAGTAAAAACAATGATTATTTGAATCAAAATTCTTTTTATAGGTTAAATATAGGTTAATTGTCTATATAAGTAAAGTTGAATTGTACATACATTTTTCTTTGAACTTTATATTTCAAACAATTTAAAGTAATTTATTCTTAAAATATATGATACATAAATATTATAATATTATACTTTAAATTTTAATAAAGCAATAATTATTTTTGTATAAAAAAATATAGGTATATTATAACTACTTAATTAAAGTTAATTACAATAAAAAAAATATACTCGGACAAAAAGTTTTTTACCCTTACAAACATAAATAATTTTTTAATTATTAATCTGAAACATAATTTATTTTAGATGTGTACTATTCTGTAATATAAAGACGTAATACAAGTATCTGCAAATTGTTTACCTCTTACTACCTTACTTTACTATAAGAAGAATCCATTTTGCACAGTTATTTTTAATATTAAAGTACATTTACCTAATATCAAGTTTAAAAGTTAAAACATTATTTAAAGAACTTTAAAAAGCTTCTTTATAGATATTTTAATTTTATAATAATTTACGATAATTTTAAAATTCACGATGTTAAAATGCTTAAAACTTTCTTTAAAAATACATACAATATTAACATAACAATATTTTTACTTTGAAACATGATAATAGGTCAATTTTCAGTAATATTAAAAATAACAGAACAGATTCTTCTTAACATAAAATTTACTATGTAATGTATTAGTAAAATGGAGATAGCCAATATATGTGGAATATAGATATAATATCAGTTTAATGTGCAATTTTCAATTAGTCAAATTAATATTTTGATAATAATAATTATGTTATAAATTCTGTTAAGACAAATTTCTCATTATTAAATAAAATTATAACATAAATATAATGCAGGTATGACAAAAATAAGATAATTTTAATTTTATTAAATGTTCAATATGTGTTAATCAATGGTGATAAATCTTAAACTTAACTATGATTTACCAAAACAAAAAACTAACAAATTTAACAAATATTATTTATTAATTTTCACACGATATTTGATTATAAATATATACATATTTTTCCTAAAACATGATAAATTTATTTTATATGATTAAATAAGGCACATTTTATTTTACATATTTTCACAAATGTTGTCATATATACATGTAAATTTTAACATTATCTGTAAAATTTTCAAAATATTCCATGAATTTATTTACAATACTAAAAACTAAAATAATTTGTTAATTTGTATTATTAATATTGATAGTTTAATTGTACTATACTTTGATATAAGTATTCATAAAAATATTTTTAGTGCGTATAATAATATACAACATTTAATGGCATTTAACAAATTTATCTCAATTACCTTAAATTATCATGTCTGTTTTAATTCAGCTATTATTTAACAAAATGCACAGAAAAACTGATACAAAAATAATTGTATTTATTACAATTTACAACAGCACTTAAAAAAAACTGTCAACTTATTTTCTAAACTGACTATAAAATAAACAAAATAATGCTTAAACATTTAAAATTTAAATTTTATTTGTGATTTTCCTAACAACATTTTTTTGATTGACAATAATGTACTTTATTGCATTGAATATTAATAACGACAACATTTTTTGATATACTCATTTAACAAATATAAGTCAGTGTTAAGATTGAATCAACATAGTTTCATTTTTTTATTTTAAATTTAAAACCATATATGGTTAGCCATTGTTTTACTTTGCATTATTAAAAATTTAAAGCAATTTCTTTCTTGAAAATTTAAAAAAAAAAAATGATTTAATTCAATGTTATATTCAATTATAATTTAAAAATAATTAATTTTAATTCATCAACGTAATTATTTATTTCATATTTTGACAATTTTAATTTCACATAAAATCCTACACCAGTCATAAACAGTCGATATATAAGTAGTTATTTTCAATTTAAGAAATTATTCACCATTGTCAGGTCATAAAATAATTAAATGTATTTAAATTTATATTAATTAGTAATAGAATTCATTTTTATTTATTATTGTTGACACAGCTGTTGCAATTGTTTCAAATCAAAACCAATAAGTTACAATAGTAGCACCTTTAAAAATTTAATTATTATTAGGTATTAAATAAAAAAATTGATAAAAATATAATTATATATATTACATAACTTTTAATTTAAAGGGAAAATTAGAGAAAAAACTTTTGAGTATATTAAATATTGACAAAATAATCTAAAACACTCTTAATTATAAGATTTTGATAACTAACAAATTGGTTCATTAACAGATCTAAAATAATAGAAATATAAACTTATTTTCAAACTGTTTTTCTTAATATTATAAATATTATTCAACTATTACAGTTCAGTAAATTAATTTATTCACCTATAATTAAATTTAAAGATAACATTATCTAAGTTTGTTAGTTGACTTTTTACAATATTTAAATTTTTCTGTAGTCATGAATATTTTTAAATTATATTTTACATACAAAAAATTTGCATAAAAATTAAAATATTGTAAAACAGGCAATGTACAAACACAAATAATGTTCTCAACTTAAAATTTTATAAAAGTTCAATTATTCTAATAGTAAACAAGACTCTTTCAGCAGAACAAAAATTTGCTACATTAGACGTAAGTTTATAACTGCAAGTTTGAAAATAATTTAGTATTTATCTAGTATCTTTAGCAATTATATTTTGAATTAAATTAAATGATATTAACAAGTTCTGTTGATTAGATAAGTAACAAATAATATTAATTAGTGACTACTGATTAATGACATTAAAATAAAATTTTATAAACACTTAATTACCTAAAAATATATATCAGTAATGACAGTAGAATAACTATAATTAAAATATTACATACTAACATTAAAGTAAATTAAAACCAAACACAAACAAAAAAAATTGCAATTTTAACATGATTTCCTCCATAGTTTCAGGTTTCTATAACCTTTTGATTTGTATTTATACATAATTACTAACAAATTTGGTTTGTACGCCCTATAGAGCAGTACTTCTTAAACTTTTTGATAATATATTCCTCTTAATTTAATGTAAAATTGTTATGACCCCTTAAGAATATTTTTTTGTCATCAAAATCATTAAAAAAATAATTATTATTTTTCCTAAACTTAGCTATAATATTTTTAGATGTGTTAAACACATATAAAAACACACAACTTTAATATATAGTATATACACACACTTTTAAATACCACTGAATAAAACTTTATAATAACTTCAAACTTTAATAGTAGATAATAACTATTAACTAGATAAAATTACAGTACACATTTTTAAAATTAATATGATGGGTGGACTTATAAATCAATAATAATTATGATTATAAATCAATGTTTGAAATTATATTTAAACAGCAGTGCTCTACAATATTTTCTAAAAGGCATGATTTACATTTTGTTTTTAATTGTAGATGCAAAATTATAGAGATATGTCAATAGAAAAGAAATTAATAAAATGGATACTCTTTCTGTTAATATGTTAATACTTTTTCATGAAATTTGGTTAGTGTAAAATCTGTTTTGACTAAAGTGAGATACACTTTTCTGATATAATAATTCTATTATAATAAAATAGCTGACCATTCAGTTTTGATAATTGAAAATAATTATGATTTTGTTTTGTTCAAAAACAGATTCTTTAAAATACATAAAACAAAATAAATATTCTATCCTCCTTGTAAAATACATAAATGGCATAACACTACGTTCCACATTTTCAAAATTATTGCTCTAAAGAAATTATGTGTAAAAGTATATTTTCCAATTTGTGTAGTTATAGTATTTATCTAATATTAGTCAATTATACATTGATATTTACAGATTATTATTTACCTATTATAATGAAAAATTCATTACCGTCTGTTACTGTATTTATTCTTAAACAATAAATAAAAATATATGACAAAATGTATGTCATTACATTGCAAAAATTTTAGATTTATTATTTTGTAATATCAATTTTATTGATAATAAAAGTAATAGGTATTTATTTATTTTACTTTTCAAAAATTTTGATGATGTTTATCATTTGATCAAATACTATAAAATCAATAATTGATTTTGTAACCAAAATAAATTAGCATATTCCTACTAAAAATATCATGACTAATTTATTAAAGTAAAAAATTATACCTATACATTGTATAAAATTGTAGTTATAAGCGTAAGCTAATCTTATACTTATACATTTCCATATGTTTAATAAAATGATAATCCTTGTAATAATATGTTATCATATCATCTATATTATATACAACACACACACCCACATAAACGTACACAGAAATAGGTATGTACTTGAATATAAATTATAAATTCCTAGGTAACCCAGTAGTTATGTGTCTGTTTGTAATTTGCAAGTTTAAAGGTTTAAAATGTTTAAATAACTAACAAGAAACAATAACTATATCAATTAGTTCATTAAATTAATCAATTTTTTATATAACCTAGCATAAATAAGCAAACGTCATTACTTAAAAAAAACTATTTTAAAATACTATATTAAATTGATTAAATTATTATTAGGGAATGGGTTTACTTGTAAATTTATATTTTTATTAAAATAAGCAATTTTAAATCTGATAAGAGATGTATACTATTTAAATCATTCTTATTAACCTAATGTAAATTTAATTTAACATATTTTTAACCTTTTTAATTTTATGATAGATACTTTTGTTCTTAGCTTATATTGACAATAACATTTAGGTACATTAAATTATGTTTAGGAGTAAAAAACTATTTTAAAATTTCAAATAATAACTTGTCAACTTATTTAAAATATACTTTATTCGTATTCTACAGTTAAAATCAATATTATTTATTACTTTGGAAATAATAAATAATCAATGTACTTAAACTAATATCAACTACATATTTATAACTTTGACCTATTTGACCTACTTTTTTATCACTTAACCTGTCAAAGCTTTTAAGAAATGTATAAAATTGAGAACAATGAATTCTCATAAAAAAATTAATTTGATTTCTTCAAAAAAAAAATCTACAACTGATGCATACTTTTCTGTCAATCATCTTATTTATAAAAATTTAGATTTAGCTACAAAGTAACAGGTATTTCATGGACATTTAAAAACCTTTTGGTATTGTGAACCATAACATTTTACTAAGAAAATTAAGTTAATCAGAGATTTGTTAAATAGCAAATAAATCATTCAAAACTTCTTTAATGGATAGATTACAAAATGTGAAAATAAATGATAATTAAAGTCAGCCTTTAGATATGTCATGGCGTTCTTCAGGGAACAGTCTTGAACCTATATTATTTGTTATCTACATGAACTGCTTACTGAATCTAAATTTAAATGCTAAATTATTTTGTTGAGCTGATGATACCATCATACTATTAAATAAGAAAAATATTAAATGTTTGTACAACAGATATAATCAGGTTTTTAACATATTAACCGCCATCTGTAATTCTCAAATTTTATACATTTGTGACCACTGGCGCCCATAGTTCATCATTACTACCATGCCACATGACCACCGGCGACCATAAATTAATTTAGTTTTATATTAATAACTTTTCTACTAAATGGAAAATATATATTGATAATGTGACATCAATTTTAAGAAATTATTTTATATATTTAAAAATATTAAGGTTTTATTTAAAACACAAAATCTATGAGTAATATATATATATTTTTTTTTTTTTGTACGATCAGTTATTACTTTTAATAATAATCCTGGAAAGGATTTTAATTTCCACCTCACTAAGTTAAAAATAACTTACAACAAAATTATTAAATATATACTAAAGCCACCAAAATCTTTCTAGTACACAATTTATAAAAACTTTTACTTTTTTAATCTAGATAGGTCTTTTAAAAAAAATGTATTACTTTTAGCATGCAAAAATAAAAATCATATGTTTTTGAGCATAAACTTATTACTAGGTTGGGTACTAGGTATAAAAAAAAATATTAATGTAATCAAAACTAATTGTTGAGTCTTTTGAGCTTAAAATGTATACTAATATTGCAGTTGAGATACGTAAATCTTAACTAATATAACAATTACTACAACTTAAGAAAACTTTAGTAAAATTATTAATTTAATATATTAGTAAAGTTAATTTATTTTAAGAGTTTATAATCCTGTGAAATATTAATTCTACTATATATATTTATGTTTTCTTTACATATATCTTAAATTTCACCTTAACTTTGTATATTACTTTTTAAGTACTCTTCACTTCTATCACACGCATTACTTATAGGAGGTGAGCAATCCATGTTTGAAATTTACCAATATATAACATTGTTGTTTGTTTACAAATAAATAAATATATACCTTTAAATATTTTAAAATTGTTTTTAAACAATTTTAAATTTTAAATACATAGGTACAAGTAATTAAAAATAAATTTTCCTCATATTTTTAAAGTTTTTTAATTATATAAATTTTAATAATTTTATTATAAAAATAAAATATTGCCATTTTATTAATCTCTAGTTAAACTAATGATTAACAATTAACTGCCTAGTAAATTATAGAAAATACAAATTTTAAATACCAATAGGTAGAATTTTAAAATTCAGTACCTACCAATGTATGTATAACAATTTATAGTTCATAATGAGACATGTTGGACAGAGATGTTAGATTTTAATTTGTTCAATTTTAGTGCCTTTAGCTTTTTGTTGTACAATATGTTTATGTTATAAACACAAGAAATCTTGTGAGTAAACATAGTACACTTTTTCAGAAGGTATTTTGTCATATCCCAAACTATTTAATATTAAAATTTCAGTTGTTTAGTACATTTTTTTAACATTAAGCAACTTGCCATCTGGTAAAGTTGGTAAACCAATGTCTAACATATATTCTATTAATTATATTAAATTTAAATACACTATTATGTAAGTAGGTACCAAAAGATGAAATTATAAGCCAATATATTATTTTGAACACTATTAAAGTATTGGTCTCACAGGTCTTGATAAAAGGTTACCTTGAAAAAAATTGGGTATACCTAATCAAGATATTTTTTTCATTATTATTACTATAAGCTGCTAGTAAATACTATTGTAAATTTGGGTATTATCAGGGAAATTTAATAATTAATTTACCTCACAGTTCATTGTCTAACAAAATTTCACCAATGAAAAATACCCTACTTACAAAGGATGCTCATTGCTCAAGTACCCACATACTACACTCGAAATAAAAATCAATAGTTCAGTGTAAGAAAAACAATAGTAAGTAATACAATAATGATAATAATATGATCAGTGGACCTATCAAGTATCGACAATATCAAATATTAATACAGACTTACCATGATCGAAGAGCGCGCTTATGCGTGGGCGGGTGGTTCTAGGCGCTGGGCTCGAGTGGGCGCGCGATCGTATGTGGTTCCGTCAGCAAACGGGGTGAAAACGGATAGCAGAAATATCTAAACCACCACAATTGCTGCCTTGTAGTAATCGTTTTTGCCGTCGTCGTATGAAATTATAACATGAGCAGACGATTATCGAGAAAAATTATATACTACAGTACTACCGCGAGTACGACCAGCGAAATGCTTCTGTCGACAACGGGAAAATAACAAATATTGTGTTGTGAATGGTGATTAAGAACCGTGAACTAGGCTGTTGTGGTAGTGGGGTTATCGTCATCAACGTTATCGTTTTTATCGTTCGAGATAAAACGTCCCCAACGGCAACGACGCGTAGATAATATAAGAATTATCTATGCAGCGTCGGCGATGGCTGTGGCAGTAGTTGTCAGCCGCACTAGAGGTCCGTCCGTCGATCGGGCGGCAGAAGCAGTAGTTGTCGGCCGCACTAGTGTAGTGGACCCGTCGGTCAGGCGACAGTGTTAAATTTGTTCACTCCTTCCCACGACTGGTCGCAGCACATTATCAGTGCGAAGTGCGATTGCCGATTACACTCTGTTATCGGGAAATTTTCCACTTTTTTTTTTTATTAATTTTAATAAAAATAATTATAATACTATGATATTTCGGTGCGCCGTCATCGCGTAAATACCCAAGTTGCGACGCATTATATAAGTATATTACTTATATTACAAATAATATAATATTACTATTATTATTATTATTATTATTCTCGATTCGTTATCGGTTCAATCCACTTCGCGTCGCATTTCTCGTGTCGTATCGGCTCGCGTCGACTCTGTCCGTCTCGATCGACAAGTAAATATAATAATAATAGTAGTAGCCGATTATTAAATTATTTTCGTGTACTATTATAGATATTAAAACAAATTCGTCAGCTCTACGGCGGTTTCCGGTACTACTTCTGTCACTGTTGTTGTTGCTGTTGCTCGCATTGTGTATTTGTGTGTTAGTCGGCGTCCCGTTGGAGTTTGATCCGTTTCTTCACTGCTACACTGGTGCCCGGCCGTCGTTTCGCTGCCAACAATTATTTTGTTCGGATTTCCCGTAAAATGGCTACGGTTAGCTTGGATTCCATTTTACCATGGCCGGAATACTTTAGACAGGTCTTGAACAGCACGAGTAAGGATCACGTCCATATTATTTTCAAAACTTTTTTCCCTTTTCCCCACCTCGGCCGCCCGTCAATCGCCATCGTATATCGCGCGATTGCGTCGCTTTTCGTCGACGCCAAACTAATCGATACCGAATCATATTTTTCTCTGTATTTTTCCTATCGCTTTTCAATGCATTCGAACTGGGTTCTCAGTATAACAATCTACCTTATTCGCATCAAACATTTTATAGGTTAAGAGGTGCTATGGTTATTCTATGTATCATTACTTATTAATAATTATAACTATGGTTTTTCATTATTTTATCCTCTTTTACCGACGAAATATTTATTGTTTTTTCATTTCTAATTAAAATAGGTATGTGTAGTTTTCCTACTGACTGATGTTCCTGATTTTCATTGAAATGACAAGACAAATACATAAATGTTGTCTGAACAAATTAAAATACTTGTGTTTTTATTTCTTACATAATTACATTTTCTCAATTTAATGGGGCCTATTAATATTATTTAAGTATATATAATATAATAAATTTAAAGTTTGATTGAAAAAATTATATATCACTTGAGAAAAATTCAATTTAAGTTCAGCGATAGTGTTTTTAATTTGTTAAGTTGGTGCAATACCTATTTTTATTTTTTTTTTTGTTAATCATTATAACTATATTTGTCTCAAAGTAGTATATATACGTCACATCTGCATGTGTTGTCTTCGTCTTACATATGTATGACACAATAATTTTATTTTTGTTCACCAGTTTTAATAGTGTGCTTTTAGATTTGATATTAGAATGAATTAACCTGTTTCAAACTTTTAGGTGAAAACATTATCTGTGTTCTCTCCTTGATTTTTTACGATATTTTAATTTCTAAGTGAATTATGAGCATTTTAAAATATTTATATTTTCCATACTTAACTCACTTAAAAATTAAAATATCGTAAAAATTCAACGAAGGAACTCCGTAAATGCTTTTACCTAAGAGTTTGATAATAGGCCAATTCACTTTAATATCATTACTAAAATTACATTATTAAAACTAGTAAATAAAAATGTATTATGTCATGCGTTTGTAAGATGGAGACAACACATACGGCTGCACCGTTATGTGAAAGATGCGTGCCTCATATTCTACTTTGAGACAGAGTTATTGCAAGTTATCTACTATCTAAATTAAATAATACATAATATTCATACAAAGAAGTACCCAATTAATAGATAATTATTAATTCAGAAGATATTAAAGAAAGAAATACTATTTGCTATTTATTTGTATTATATAAAATAATTAATTAGTTATATATAAACTCATTATTCCATTACTCAAATCATTATTGTATTAAATTTAGTTTGTTTCGTGTAGCTTCTTATTTAATTTTTACTAAACCTAGTTTAAAAAAAGCTCTAGCTGTAAAATCTTGTTAATAATGAAAATACAATATAAGTCTGAGGACTTGGTATTAAAAAAAACATATTAAGCAACTGTAACTGTTAAACAAAATTTGTAACATTCGCTAAGTTAAAAGATAATAAAATATTAGCTTGTGATGTTATAAAGATATAAATTGTTAATTATTATCATCACAAAATATATTTTATTAGGAAAAAAGATTATTGTATTTGTAAAAATAGTCAAAATTGTTTCCTTAATATTGAAAAGCCATATAATAAATTATCCTTACACCTATATAATTTAAATAGTTTATTATAATCATATATGTATGATTTAATATGCTAAAACTCTTAAAAAAAAATTTCTTTTTTCTTAAAACATTATTTCTCAATGTTTATCCTATTTATAATCAACTGTCTCATTACATAAAAAACCATACATCTTTTGGAAATAATCAATAAATACTTATAATAATTTTATAAAAACTTATTATCAAGACTTATTTACTTAATGCACTTATAATCATTTAAATAAGTATTTAAACCTGAAATTTTCACCTACCTATTACAAATAATAGTAATACAAATTTAAAACAATTTTTTTTTAGATATCTCCTGCTTATTAAAAACAGTAAGAAAAATTTAAATCAAAATTTTAAGTGATTTTATTGATATTATTTTATAAATAATATAAAAAGTAAAATTTAATTTGTAAAATAAAAATCTGTTTTATTGACTTACAATGTTTACTGCTGAATAATACCAATACCAACATATGCCTTATTATTAAATGCATCAAAATGTTATGAACATTAGAATTATCTTTGTTTTCATTAATGTTTTATTACTTGCAACATATAATTTATAAACTTTAAGAATAAAAAAATAATAATTTTTTATTTTATTTATTTAAACATAATAACGTGAAGTGGCTTTTTAAAGTATAAATAATAACAGAAAAGTTATAGTAAACAGATAAAACAGAGTCAAGTATTGACTATCTGCAGATGCCTTTAGACATTAAGTTTTAGAATTAACCTTCTAAATTTGATATATTGTATAAGTAATTCTACATGAAGTGCCTTACTAAAACCCCTGCCTTAAAAAGTAAAATTGTCTTAATTTTCACAGACATGTCTATAGACTATAAAATTCAAATAATTAAATTTTCTGCCTAGTTAATTGTTTTTAATTAATAAAATAATTTAAGGTATTTTATTGTATTTTTTTAATTTAAAATAATATATTTTTATTTTATGCAGTATACCATTATTAACTATTCAATATATAATTAATTATAGCTATTATTTATACCTAATAACTGTATTTGAATAAATATAATTTTGTTAATAAAGTTATTCCTACTTTTACAGGTAAACCAGCATTTTTGAAACCTATTGATGGCCCAAAACCAGAATTTAACAAAGAATTAAATGAAAAAGTATCTTTGTATCAAGGCGACCTAACAAAATTAGGAATAGATGTTATTGTCAATGCAGCCAATTCTAAATTAGCTGGTGGGGGAGGAGGTAAAAATATATTGACATTATTTCATGTTAATTTATAAATAATTGCATATCAAATTTATTATTTATAATATATATTATTCAAAATATCATAGTTGACGGCGCTATTCATAAAGCTGCTGGTCGAGAACTTCAGGCGGAATGTGCTACATTAAATGGTTGTAGAACAGGTTGTGCTAAAATCACTAAAGGTTACAAACTCCCTGCAAAGTGTAAGTTGATAAATTCATTAACAATATTATTATATATTATATAAAACAAATGCATTATAATCTACCTAGTATAAAAATATTTATTAATAATCATTTTTGTGTGTAAAAAGAAATTTTTTTTGAAAGTTCTAAAACTTATTCCATTGTAATATTTTACACAGTTATAATTCATTTTGAAATAATATTAATAAAAGCCTATGTGATGGCCTAGATAATAATCTTACCTTGAAGTTTGATAATAGGACAGTAGATAAATTTACTTTAATGTTAAAGCTAACAACATGAAATGGATTCTGCTGAACCCAAATTAGTAATGTTGTATGTGTGTAAGACGGATACATCACATATGTGTGTAGTGTTTTCTTAACTTCAAATTTTTATATGAATTAAATAAATCTTTTCAATGAAAATTTTTCTTATTTTAATTTTATATTACTATCTGTTTGGTTATTGCTTATTTGTCTTTATAGATGTTATTCATACAGTTGGGCCAAAAGGAGAAAATGCTGAAGAACTGCAATCAGCTTATCAAAACAGTTTGGATTTAGCCGTTGAAAAGAAGTTAAGAACAATTGTAAGTATTAAAATTTAGTTTAAATTGTTAATTTTTTTTTTTTTTTTTTAATTTGATTAATATTTTTATTTTTAGGCATTTCCGTGTATTTCTACTGGTGTTTATGGTAAATTTTAAATATTGTATATTTTGTTTTACATAATTTCAATTTTAAATATTAATTTAATGAAAATATGTTTAGGGTATCCACAAGAAGAAGCATCCATTGTTGCCTTGAAAGCTATAAGAGACTTTTTAGAACATGATCATAACTTGGTAACATTTCAAATTTTTAAATTTATAATTTTATACATCTAAGTCTATATTATCAATTAAAGTTCATAAAAATTATAAGTTGAAAAAAACTTGTTCTTATTTTAAAAGTATATACAGTAGGGTTTCATTAATCCAAATGAGGTTGGAAAAAGGGATCATTCGAATTAATGATTTGTTCGAATTACTTACGACTTAGAAAAAAATCAATTTTCTTGCAATTTAAATTTTTAAATTAGTCTATCCATACTGCAGTATTATTCATAAAATTTGTTATTGAAAAACACAATGATTACAATCAAAATCGACAAAATCATTATAATTATGTATAAAATGTCAGTTAATAAGTACATGTATAGCATATTACTATGAATTATGATACATGTGTGTATTAGTATAACCTAACCTAACCTAAGCCTGTTTGGATTACCGTGAGACCCTACTGTATAAAATATTTAGATGATATTTTTATCTTCGTCTATCATAGCACAATGTACCAATTCACTTTCATAAGCCAAAACTATATTCTTGGTCTATTATTATTTATAAATGTGAAATATGTAATCCTCAAATTATCACAATTATCCTGATTGAGTTCATTACTTATATTTAAATTATTACACAGTTTAGTAATATATTATCACAGTTTCATTTTTCAAATAAAATTATACATTTAGAACCCAAATTATTGTTCTTAACAATACCTTTTATTATTTATTTTTTAGAAAAATAAAAACATTAACATATTTTATCAAATTTACCACCAAAACGTCCTTACTTCATCATTATTTTACCAATTATTGATTTAAAGTTTAAATCAAACTAAAAAAAAATATTTATTCTAATAAATACAAAAACATTTTTAATTATAATTTATATATTAGTTTTTAATAAATAGATATTAATAGTACAAACCATTATTATTATCATTCTTTTTCTACGGTCAAATTTTTATGTAATATTTTTATTTTGATTTTCATTAAATTATTTATGTTTTTCTATAACTTTTTTTTTTACTTTTTGTGTTAAAAATTAATGTAAATTATGATTGGTGCCATTATCATCTATAAGTAATTTAATTGTAAACTTGATTATTAAGAATGCATTCAAATATGTTTATTGTGTGTTAACATTTCTTTTTCAGATTGAACGCATAATATTCTGTGTATTCCTTGATTCTGACAAGGAATACTATGAGAAGTATCTACCATTATTTTTCCCTCTTGAGTAAGATTTATCTCATGTATTGTAAAATATTCCAACTTTTTTTTACAGCATTAAAATTAATCATTTATACATTGTTTTAATGTGTTTCCCTTTTTCTTTTTATATTATCAATATTGTAGTGTATTAATACCATATATTAATTGTTTAACTTTAAAAATATTTAAATATATTTCAATCTCACTAAATTTTTGTTTTTGTTTTTATTTTTATTTTTATTTATTTTAAAACTCTATTTCCCAACCCTATGACTGTTTTATTAATTATGTATTAAGTATTTAAAACAATTACCCACTTATACTTGGGTCATAGTACAAAGTTAATATTTTATATCTTTATTACTAATGAGTTTAAATTATACGTCATACAAAACATATTATAAAATATACTCTACAATAATAATAAAAGTAGTATTCTATTTTAAGTATTATGCCTCTCAGAAAATAATTGTTGATGTGGCCTAACTTATATTATCATAATTGAAATAATTCATGTAATGGGTTTAATTTAGTATTTCATAATATGCTTGTTATCTTTAAATTTTTTTTTTTTTTCATAAATATCTTATTATTTTGTTTGAAAAATGTATAAATACTCAATATCAGTAGTTTTTTTTTTTTAATTATGTAATAAAATAATAAAAATAATAATAATTCAGTATTACTATGTATTACCCATTTGTTTTTTTGTTAAATTGCTTACATTAACATGTTGGCAATGAATTATCTAACATCTTTCCTGGTATAACTTAATGTAATTTAACATTTTTGTATGCTTAATAAAATATTGTTTATACACTTAAGAATAGGTTAGATATATTATATTATATCTTATACCTTTTAAAAATATTTTTTTTCAGTATAAAAATAATTTAAATTATACAAATCAAAATGATCAACCTTATATATTTAACTGAGAAATTATTCCTCGTTACTCCAAAACAAAAATATATATTTTTAAATTATGATATTTCTTGGTAAATAGTATTTCATATTATTCTAAAGATAAAATTAACTTAAATACATATTTAATTCTGCTTCAGAAGTAATTGAAGGCATTAAATTCATTAATTTTAGAATATTTTTTTTATAAACACCTTAATCCATAATATTATATATTTCTATATATATTTGCTAGATTTGTTAATTATCCAACCCAACCACCCACCTCAAGAAAGATGAAGTGTTTATTTATTTTATATGCTCTTGCAATTTTACAATAAGTATGAAATACCTATGCTCTTAAGGTTAACTCATTCCAATGTTTTTGTTCAAATTTTTGGAAATTGTTAAAGACAGCTTATTTTTATGTGATGGAACATACTGAAATTTGTTCTTTTTTTCAGAGGAGTATTTTTTTGTCTATTTATTCTTTAATTTAATTTATTTTTAATTTTTATAATTTTCAAAGTCAATATTTAATTAAACATGTATAATATACACTACAAAATATAATAATATTGACAATTTCTGCAAAATGTTGTGTCAGTCATCATCTTATCTGTAACATAATTATAGCTACTAAAAAAACTGTCCAGCAGTACAAGTTTATCTATTTATTATTATTGTGGTGATCACTGTGCAGAACGCTGCGATCGGTATCACAATTATTATTTAAACGACGTAATCTTAAAACGTATTGAGGAAAGTAGATATATAGAAAATAAAATAACACTTTACAAGTTATAAATAAAAATGTATATTTTATTTGTAAAACTTTAAAGCAATTAAAAAGAATCTATAACTCACTGTGGTAAGCTTGTTGTGCATAAGTCTACAGTTAATTACCTTCTCTATCAATGCTAGATGCTCTACCCGTATTTATGGGTTCTATCAATGACTTATGGTAATGTGATAACCCTTAATGTGTTTTTTATGCATATAGTGTAAACAATTTGTTGTTTTCACCTCTTGATCTAGGCTTTACCTATTCTCCATAAAACTATAATTACCTGCATTAGTTGTTAGTATAAATTATACTTTATGTATAATTTATTATATTATTTTGTTCAAACTAAAATAATTACTTGGAACTTTGGGCTTACTACTTTATTTTATATTTTTAATTGTATCACATAGCTTATAATATTTTAACTATGTCATAATATAGCTGTAAACAGCTTCTATTGCAGTATTTCTTTTTCAGTATACCTACTCTTATTTTTTCACTATCATCTTATATATAGTCATTTTTATTTATTAAATAACTGTATGTTTAAATATCTCTATAAATTAACTTGTTTATTTATTATTGACAATATTATTAATAACATTTAAAAATTACTGAAGAACAAAAAATATTCCTTACTTAGAAACAGAGAAAGGAACTAGTTATTTCTTTTAAATTAGAAACGGAAATAGGATTTATTTTTTTAACACCATTAACGTCTACGTAAATTAGTTCCTTTTCCAAACACTGTCTACAAGCTATAAGCTATTTTAAAAACTATAAAATTGCATTATTGTTTTGTTATAGGTTTTATAACACAATATATTATGTAATTTCTAATTTAAAATATACCTACCTATTTTGTTAAATCTTAGATCACTCAATCACTAGTCCAACTAACCTATTGTTGAATAGAAATTTTCAATTGAACAATATTATAAAGAATACTTTTTTTAAAAAAATAATAAAATAACATGTATTTTGCGTTTTTTTTATTTTTGATTGTTTATTGATAGGTTATTTTATAGGCAATCTTCATTTTTTCATACACTGTATTGTTTCAAAATGACACCATTACACCGAGTAATTAAAGAAGCTTTGAATCATATAAGAGGTGTCATTTTAAACAGGTTAACGTAGTACACGATGGCAGCTAGGAAATTATAATTAAAAAACGATTACGGAAGAAAAAGAACCACAAAAAGAAAATTCAATAGAGCTCGATACAGACCGCTTTTAAGGAGTTTGATATAGGCAATTTTCGAAGTGCACGTGCATGTCTCATAGCATTATAGAATATATCAGGATTATAAATTGCTTAAATTTAATATATTTTACATGCCAGTCGTAATAGAGCTCAAATTTGTTGATAATATGTATTTGATAACTTATGTTTCTGTTGTAACTTTAGGTAAGTACTAGGTACCTAAATGTTTTATTAATTGCGAATGTTATTATAAAGCAGTATATTGAATTATTAGGTATAGGTACCTAGCTAAACCATGCATGATGCATATCCAATAAAGATATGTTATCAAGTGGGCACTGCTACATTTTAAGCGTAGGTAGGTATAATATGATTAATGTTTATACTGGGAAATTAATAATTATTTATTCCTAGTATCTAAATATTCTAAATGGTTTTTTTTTTTTTTTTTATGGATATTTTCAATGAGATTTAAGTATGTTCACAGTTCTAATTCATTAGCACCAACAGTAAACCTAAAACGTAAAACAGCGTTAAAAGTAAAATAAAAATGGAAAGTGTTTATGTATTTTGGCTCTTGATTGAATTCTGGCAAATGTATTAATCGACGGATGGCGATGTCGGTTATCACTTATCACATGGTCTACCGATAATAATATAATATATTACAAATATTGCACTATATGTTTATTATGTTTTACTCGTTATTAGTTTATTACATCGCCATAGTTCGGTCGAGTACAAAATGAATGTAAATATAATATGAATGTAATATACCAATGATTTTTAATTATTAAAAACTGAATAAACGCAAATTCTCATGATTCATATTTTATTGTGCTTCCTTCGTTCAAATGTAGAAGTGTACAATTGTACAAATACGATTTATGTATTATGTATAATTAAATAATCATCAACAATAAAAAAACTTAAAGAGATCTTTTAAATGTAGGTATCTGGTACTCAGATGTTTAAAAATTATTATTATTAATATTTTTATTTACCTGTGATCTGGCAACTAACGTGATTAAAATTTAAAACCAAAGCTAAACATATATATATATATCATAGTTTAAAGTTTAAATGCAGTATTTTTAAACGACTTTTTGAAAATAATTCAGTATTATACTCAGTAAAGATACTTCAAAATATTATTTAAAAATACTTTCAAAAATTTTAAATAAAACTGTTATCTTTTAAATCATTTAACCAATTTTTTTTTTTTTTGACATTTTCATAGTTTATATTAATTTATTAATTTATACAATTATACTGTACTATTTGGTATAGAGGTAGTCATAAATTACTTATCTATATCCTTAGACAAGTGGGTAAGTTTAATTTACAGTTCAGTTTAGTCATACAAAAAATATTTTAACTTGAAAAAACTGAAAAGGAACATAATAAATGTTCATACTGATAACTCTTTAAGGCATAACAATACTAGAAAAATGTATACTCTTGCTAAGTTAAAATATAGTTTTACGGTATTTATTACGTCACCTGAAACATTTTAATACAATCTATAATCTCTATAAAAAAAAAAATTGAAAAATGATAAAATATAAAATCAACAATATACCTACCACTGTTTATTGAATAAAGTATCAAATTTAATTCAAACACAAGTCTTAATATTTTTTAATTTTAAAGACATACTATTTAGTGATACTATGTTTAAAATTATCATTCTTATTTCGAATATTTCTTACATAGGCTAACTAACGTCTATCGGTAAAGGATATATATCAATACTCAACAGTCGACAGGTTAGTAATGTACGTATGTACTGGGACACGGTTAGGTTAATTAATTGCATTTGAAAGATATATTAATTGAATTTAGTACAGATACTTTGAGAAGGTAGGTATTTAAAACTTTGGCCAAATATTTTACTCAAGTGCCTACTTTCCAACACTGTGTTAAATATTAAAATATTTATGACTAATTAATTAGGTATCAATTTGTATTTTGTGCCGTCGTAAAGCAATATTATGACGTTTGACCTCATCAGTTTAGAACCTAAGCATAGCCATAGGCCATAGGGCATTGACAATACACAATGTTAATTGTTATGTACTATGGATTACTAATATATCAACGTTATCTCTATTGGCAATAATATTGTTTTGTTATTTCTTTCGTCACATGAAGTGATAACCGAGAAGTAAATATGATAATAATATTAATAATAATAATAATAATACATACACATATACATACATATTATAACGCACTCGTCCAGCGTCCGGCATCCAAATTTTCCGGCAATCGACGGCATTCCGCCAATTTTCAATCACTGTTCATAAATACTGAACAGTCTTCATCTTGTAAGTTGTAATGTCCAAACGGTTCATCTGGTAACGATCGAACAACTTCTGGTGACTTGGAACTGGAACGAGGAGTTTGTCTGCGTTAACATTAGTCATGTCACGAGAATACTACAATCTGCGATTCGTTGTCACCACACCGACGCTGTCTATAACCGAATACAACTGTCTAAAAGAACCGTGCAACCAGGTGCGTGTGATTATTAAAATACGTTTTTGAAAAGTGTATTTATGTATTAATTGTGGACAGTAAACATCGTACACTGCTTACACCGATCGGAGTTGAAACGTGCCGATGGTAGCTACCAACATTAGCGTTGTGACTTGTCATCTAAATTTATTCCTAACATGCACCCACCTAAAAATGTGTTGTCACTTGTCGTTTGACTATGAGTTTCTTATAACACTGTTAGACATTTCATAATTTTCAATTAAATTTTTGACTATACACCTAAATTAATAATATAAGTCATTTCGATTTGATATTTTGTTAGCTTAATGTTTGAGCAAAAAAATTGTATAGACCTTTCTATTACTTGATCACAAGTATAAATTTTGTATGTTTACTTACTCCATCAAATTATTTTAATTGAAATATTTAAAATCAAATAACTTACTAGTGATCTTCTTTTTTGATGATTATTTATTACCTGTAAAATTACTTACTAATTGTTACTGTATTTTTATTTTTATTATTTTAGATTGGATTCCTAATTGGCGATAAAAAAATTAAAGTATCAAATGTTATAACTGATGAGTCATTAAATAATACCATCACAGAAGAAACAATATGTAATTAACAGTTATTAATAAATATAAATACTATTGAGTATTTTTTATTGTACACATTTTAATTATTTGATTTTTGATTTCAGGTATTCATGCTTCATATCCATTACCAGACTTTAATGAACAACTATGTTCAAACCCATTACAAATAGATTACAAAAAATTGAAATATTTCTTACAGAAATGTCCAGAAAATTATGAGGTAATAAAATATACTGTCTTATATCTATGTATAAATGGCTAACTATATTTTATGTCGAATTAATTATGCACATCTAATTTATTTTAGAAATCGATTGTTGGCTGGTACAGATTTCGTAGAAATGCTGTATTATCTCCTAGTATTGCTGATATTCGTTTTCATGCTCAACTCAGTAATATTTTTGATAAAATGAGTGTATCAACAAACAAATTTCTGTTTTGTTTGTTTGACCATAACTATATCGGTTCGATTGATCATAAATTTAATCATATTTTTTACAGATGTGACACTGGGTAAATACTACAAAATGTAATTAAATATCTATATTGTAAATAAGCATTTATATATAATACCTAGTTATTTAAAATTGATTAATCATGAACATTTTAATTTAAAGAGTTTGTGTTGTTTAGGAAATGCTTTAACCCAGTTAAAGTCGATATTGTGAATTTGAGTACAAAACCCTTCATTGAAGATGATAATCTTGGATATAAAACTAACATCAATTTAATCGACAATTGCAAATCATACACGGACACTATAAATAAAGTGTTTGGAAATAAGTAAGTTAATATCCAATTAATATTAAAATGGTTATAGCTATTAGTATTATTACTTATGCCAATAAATTTAAGTTGAATTATCAATAAAATAATATGAGGAATTTTGTCGTAAAATAACTGTTCAATCATCATGCTAATCATAATATCTGGGAAATTTGTATGAAAACCATTAGTAAAAAATGGACTTAAATACATCAAAAAAGTTTAATATAGTTTTATACTCTATTAAATATCAAAACGTGCACTAATTTATAAAAAAAATGTAATATATATTTTTTATTAAAAATAAAATATAAACTCCATTTATTTTAGCTTTAAATATTATGTACATACATGTAAAATTACTATCTTAAAAGAGGAAGTCTCATCTGCATGTGTTGTTTCCATTTTACAATGGATAACATTGCAAATTTGAGTTCAGAAGTCTTAATTTAGTATTATGAGCTTCAATATTAGAATAAATTGACTTAATAACAAACTTAAAAGTAATAACATTATGTGCGTTCTCCCTTTGGTTTTTAATTATTTTTTTTATTTTTAAATAAACAAAATTGCCAATATAATTTTGTACCCAAAAAATCCTTAATATTTTATATTTGAACACTTAATTTGTTGTTTAATAATAATAATTTTAAGTGACTAACACAATACTATGCATTGCTTTCACAGAAATATAATTGGAATTATTTATTAAAAAAAAAAAAAAAAAATTATAATTGTAAGCGATAGATCCTTGTATAACAAATTTTTCAAAGATTCATAAAATTATTATTTATTATTTTTAATGGTTTTTTTGCACAGCCTTCGCCTATATATTAAGTTATACCACAAAAATTTGTACACGTTTTGTTATATAATGTGCATAGTGTCATTTTATTTATGTGATTGAATTACAAATTATAGATCTTCAATACATTACTAAACAATTAATATTAAATATTTTTCAATGTTAATTAAAATTGTTAATTAAGCTTAAATACATTACCTTTATACTTTTTTTATTCTCACTATTTTTTTAATAATTAAAATAAATTATTTTACATTAAAACTATAATTTACATGGCTACAAGAGTGATTCAAAAGTGTATTGATTAGTTTAGAAGATTTATTTATAGTTTGAAAAGAAATTTAAAAATGTTTATATTTTAATTTATAATCATATATTTTGTTATAAAAACATACAACAAATTTTTATACTTGATACTTTTTTTGGAAAGTATTTAAAATATTTCTTCAAATACTTTACAAAACTGCTGTGTATTAATTCAATTTTAAATGATAACGAAGAAAAATCCAAAATATATCGAATATATACTAACATAATAAAAATTGTTTTAAAACAATATACAAATGCATAAACATTTGCTTTTTACTCATTAGTCATTAACATTAAATAAAAACTAAAATGTTTTTGATGTATAAAGTATATCAATTTAATATTCTTTTCCTTTTTTAACATCTAATTTTTGTGCTAACTAATTTTAAAATACTTTTAAATTATATTAATAATATTAAAATAACTTATAAAATCATGTATTGTTTTCTGTTTTACTAATGAATAACATAAAAAGTTTTAAATTCAGATAATCCATTTAACTTTGTTATTTAAATATTTAAGTGAAAATTAAAGTAACAATTTTTGACCTATTGTCAAATTAATATATAAGAATCTTATTCAAGGCCTCGTTTAAGTTTTTTTCATATAATATTCTCACAGCTAATATTTTTTTAATAGGTTAATTTACTTTAATTTTACTTAATATTAAAAATAACAGAGTGAAATGGAGTATTTAAAAATATAGATAATAAAAGCTAAAATTATCTATTTAAACCTATTTTAAATGTACAAAATATCATCTTTAAGGCTTGAGATTAATTGCATAAAAAGTATGTGAAGTATTCATGCAAATATGAAATAAAAATTAAAAACAATGCTCTTGAGTTTAAAATATGCTAAGGTATAAAAATGGAGAAATATGATATGCATAAAAAAATATTAGGTTTATGATATATCAATAATAATTATAACTGATTTAATTTGTTAAATATTCCTTTTTTTTTTTTTATATAAAATAAATTAAATTAAACACTTTGTACTTTTATTATTTCTCAAAACAAATTTATATTTTGTCTAAAATAATTATACTACAATCACAAATACAATTTTAAATAATCATTTATTTATTAAATTATCTTGTTTTAAATTACAGGAAAGAACAGTGTTCAAAAGTGTCAGTATACAATATGAGAACTGCTTTGATTGAGGAGATGAATAAAATGGTGAAACGGATAGTAGAAAATGAACAAGAAGTTATTAAACTAAGTGCATCCATAGAAGAGAAGAAAAAAGAAATAGAAAAGAAAAAGAATGCTAAGTCATGTATTCCTAAAAATTAATGGTATTATTAAAAACAATTGAATATATTTGTAATTTTTTAATACTACATACTTGCTTTAATTTATAATTTTTAAAAATTTTCATTTTTATTATTGTGTATTTTAATGTTTTGATATTGCTATTATTGTTATAAAGTAAAATATTAGTTACTTTTTAAGTATGTATTTTATTAAATTATATGCTTACCATTAATGTGATAAATGTTAATAATTTGTTTGTATTAAAGGGATTCAAAACATACTATTTGTAATATTTGTATGGAGTTTTGTAAAGACAATATTTATGATAGATATTAATATATTATCATGTATGCTAAATTAATTGATTTTAATTTTAGCTTACTCATTGATTATGATAATTTGATATTGAAAATGGATTTGAACATCTTAATACATTAATTTTAAATTTTACTTAATAACTTTTTCAATTTGTTAATTCATGTAAGCATAATTCTCTGTTGAATAATTTTTCAAGGGTATGTGATATTTTTTAATATATAATTATGTCTACTAAACATTTTTTAAGTACCTAAAAGGTAACAAAATATGTCTGTTATGGGAAAATATATTTTTTTAAACTATTGAAAATAAAAAAAAATTAGAATAATAAAAGGACATAATATAGTTGGAAGGTAATTATTTAAATAATTGGTTTTTATAAGAAGGACCAGATTCCAGTAGATATTTCAGTTTTTATTACTTCATTTCCAAGTTTTTGTTTGAAGATTTACAAAATACTATAATAAAATATAAAATAAACTTTTGAATTTTTAAAAAAAACTTTAAACAAGTCTTTTGAAATCAACTTGAACGCTGTTGTAGGTTATGTTAACTTAAGAGTTGATGAGACTACCTACACTGTTTAAAAAATTGAATTCCTAACAACAATAAATTTAATTGTTTCAGATTGAACTGAAAGAATTCAGTTAGGTAGTGTAACGACAACAAAAACAGTTAATTTAATGTACAGAAAACTTAATTATAAAACTTACTCAAGAAAAAAAATATTGACAGCTTAAATGTATACTCGATCATCATATTAACTCATACTACGATTTGTAGAGACTAATTTTTTGTGTTGATTAGTCGCCTTAAGATTTGAAAAAACTTTATTAAATTCAAAATATACATAATTATTGATATAATAATTTTATGCTTTATCTCAGTTCATAAGATCTTTTATTTAAAAAAAATTTATTTTAGTTTAAAAGAATTAAATAATTTAACAACAATAAAAATTAATTTAAATATTTTGGCAGATGATTGAGTTAATTAATTTAATTAAATTATAGTTATTTTTAAATTTAGCATAGTTATTAATTTTTTTATATTTATTTATTTTTAAAAGAGATGCTTATTTTGCATTATAAGAGTATTAATAATGTTAGGCTATATTAAATTATGAAGATGTCCAATTACATTTGTATTTAAGTGTTTTTCAGCCTAAGGCTTTCCTTAAATCAGCCCATAAATTATTTTATTTTTTTAATTTCAATTTTTTACTATATTAAGTTATATATATATTCTATATTCTATGCTATTGGCTTTAATTTGTTTGTTTTTAAGTCTCAATCAACATTATATTTAATGTGAAAATTAATTTTTTCATTTTTTTTTTTTATTGTAAAAATACCTTTATTAATATTTCATATTTTATTATATAAAGCATATATAGAAAATCCCAATGAGATTCTATGAATTTAGCTAGTATTATTCAACATATCTAAATGTTCACTTTTAAAATTAATTATAAATTTTATTACTTACAAATTTATTTTTGTTGACTTGTAATCATTTTTTTAAGACAAATTTGTTGCTTTCAGTGATTCAACATTTTTAATAGTTTATTTTAAAATTAAATCTTAGATCACAAAACAAATCATTTGTTAGGAGTCGAGAAATATTATTGATCGAATAATTCAATGAAATAAGAACTGATGAGTAAAAAAAAAAAAGATATATTGCAATAGATTAAATTTAAAGTGAAACAATGAAGCTCAATCCATTAACTAATTAGTACAGATAACTTTGATATAGGTAAACATTATGAAAAAATTAACAAATATGAATGATTTAATATTATCAGTAAAAATGGACAATTATTATTTAAAATACTACTCACATTATTAACTAGAAAAAGACAATATTATAAATAGAAAGGATTTTGTTCAGAAATATGGTCTCCCATAATCACATTAAGTCTGTGCATCCCAAAAAAGTATTAATTGCAATAATAATAGAAAAAATTAAATTATTTAAGAAATTTTAGTTGAAGAGGTAGGACTTAAAGGAAAAGATGAAAGATCTAATCGAATTCTTAATTCTTGTTCGGAACTAGTAACTGCTGGTTGAGGCTGTACTTAAGCTTGTGGTTTAATTCAACTTCAGTAACTGGTTGTATAGTATTAGTAACTGTATGGCTGTATAACATCAATGATTGGCTGTATAGCATCATTGATTGGCTGTATGGCATCAGTTGTTGGCTGTACAGCATCAGTAATCGGCTGCGTAGCATCAGGAATTGGCTATGTAGCATTAGGAACTGGCTGTATAGTATCAGTAACTAGCTGTATAGTATCAGTAATTGGCTGTATAATATCAGTAACTGGCTGTAGAGTATTAGTCATTGGCTGTATGGCATCAGTTATTGGCTGTATGGCATCAGTTATTGGCTGCATGGTATCAATCATTGACTGTATAGCATCAGTCACTGGTTGTATAACATGAGCTGCCTGAACTTCATTATCTGATGGTTTTTTGTTCTCATCTAATGTCAAATCAACAAAATCTGATTTCAAGTTTTCAGATTCCTGCTTTTCTGAAACTTCTGACAGAAATTCTTTTTTTGGCTCAATAGATATTTCATTGTCGCTGTCATCTAAATCAATAGCATCAATAGGGTTTGTTTTCGAATCAAGATTACTATTTGTATTTTTGGTATCTTTGTTTTCTTTAAAAACAATCCATGAACCATCAGCTAAAATTTCAATTTCCATATTGTTTTCAAGTTTAGGACTAGTGACGATTTCCATAAAATAATTTTCTATTCGTATGTCATCGTATAAACAAGATTTATTACACGTTGGACACATCCATTGCGGCTTTTTTTCATTCATTAAAATAAATGTTTCAGCGTCAAAACACTGTATATGATCACAATGAATAGATTTGGCAGGTATCTTCATCCTTATTTTACCCAATGGACAAACCAAGGAAAAACGATATGATGTAGGGGCGAAATCAGAATCAGAAACTGCCAATTTTTTAATAATATTATTTTTAGTCTCTTCAGAGCTCCTCGCTTCTTTCTCTTGAAGTTTTTTTATCAAATCATCTGAACTTAACTTTTTAACAATGAACAATGCAATAGCGTATTTTTTTCCATCAGGAATCCAATTTACAGTAATCGAGTTTGCAAGCATAGGATTAAGTTTTAGATAATGCGAGATATTGATTGGTCTCGCAATTCGCCTAGATTCAGTTCCTAGTTTAATAGATATATTAGATGGCAATGGACATGTTCTATTTCCTATTCGAATATGAAGTCCTGGTGGAAAATAATCAGTTACTTCACTATTACGCCCAAATTCTAGCTGACAAAAGCGAATTTGGTATTGAAAAAGATACTCTTCTTTTCCATATGAAATGTCTCTATTCATTGCAATAAGCGATGCTTGTTCAACGGTCATAGTATGGGTGAACACACATTCTTTAGTACCTGAAATAAAATAGATATTATGAATACAATTAAGTAAGGAAAAGTAATCAAGATAAAATATATTGCTACCTTTAGTAAACTTTTCTAATGTACAGTTTTCTGATCCAATTAGAAAAGTTGTTTCAATAATATTGTCAATAACTTCAAAAAATGGTAATTTTTTGAACTTGTAACGGTCTACAGTTTGAGATGAGTTTAAAACATTATTGTTTATACTTGCCAATGCGTTCACAATCAATCTCACTGAATTTTGTTGATTTAAAGGTAATAGGGATGATATTGTAGTATGAGGTCCAGATGGCTGATTACTACTACTTAGAGCACACCGAATGTTATTGTTAGTAACATTGTTTACAAAATAGATGTTTTGACCAGTAACAGGTCTTGGTACTCTGATTAAAAACTGTGGCAATCCAGCGCGGGTCGTATGCATTGGTTGTTGAGGAGAATATTGTAGCAGTGGGTTCATTCTTTGTTGTGGTATCTGCATCTGACCCATATACATTGTCTGTCCTTGTTGAGGTTGCATAAAATTATTAGACATACGAGATTCCTTGTAATTATATATTTCAAGTATTTTTGATAGATATGCTTCATAACTAAAGCCAATTGGTCTAGACCTTAACAATTCAAGTGCTCGATTTCTTAATTCAACTCTTCGGCCTACTTTATTTTGACCAAAAGCTTCCAATAGTCTTTGTAAGTCACTGGGCCGAAAACTAGCCAGCATAGTTCCATAATTTTCTTCAGAAATGTTATTCATCGTTCCTAAAAGAACAAAATAAAAATATTTATCAATTCTGTTCATTAAATTTATAGTTTCAATGATCAAAAAGTAAATATAAATGTATTTAAATTGAATCCTTTTTAAAATATAATATAGATGAATATTAAATTTAAAATGCGGTTATCAAATAACCTAATCTGATGAAAAAAAAAACCAATATAATAAAAAAAATATTAGAAAGCCTGTCCAGGGAGGGTAATGAATTTAATTTATTTTTGTTAATGGGTAGGATCATGAAATCAAACCTAAAATGTTATTCTAGTTTAATATTATTAAATTTTAAATTTCATTGATTTTATTGTATTCTTTAAGCAAAATATATATTTAATTCATATATTAAGCTTATTTATAATGTTAACGGGGTTATACAAATATTTATATAATTAATAAATAATAATTATTCACTTTATATAAATTATAAATTATAACATTAACTACTTAAATTTTATAATATTTAATATTATAATAAATATATATGTGCTTTATTTCAATAAATGTTAAATTGTTCTTTTTATAATAAAGTATCTTGACCAATATTATGATATCAAAATGTTCTCATATTACACACTTATACAATCTATCAGAAATAGATATTAATGGTGTAAAACACCATTATAAGATACATTTTTAAGTACATTGATATAGTAATTTTTAGCATGTACAAAAAAAAAAAAAAAATATTAATTACACATAAATTTAGTAAAATAAAATAATGATATACTAAGCTACAAGTATATTTTTAAGATAATTCAAAAATGCATGATAGTAAACGGGACTTACTTGATTATAGATTGCAATGGAGTTCGATTACTTCGATTTCAAATTTGAACACAAATTTTCATCAATCCACGTTATGTAGACGTAATACAACAGTTGTTGTTCAACTATTCTGATTGGAATCGATAGGAAGAATTAAAATTCAAAATGTTCGAGTAAACTGAAAAAAAGAAAATTAGGCAAAATATTATGTAGGATAGAAGACGTGCCATGCCGTTCAAACCATATATGAGTAAATGCTAGTCGAATTGAAACAAAAAACCAAGCATCTTGTTTAAGATTCAGCTATCCCTTATCATTTGTCCTAAAATTTATGACGTGACTAATTAATATCTGAGGTTATTACCGCTTCTCGTTTGTTAGGTTTTTAATCGTAATTATTATTGATAATTTATTCGATATTTTATTGTACCTACTACCTATAACCTATTCAATATCAAAGGTGGACTGGTCTGGCGGGATTCTAGGACGAATTCTGGTAGTTCGTTACAATAACAGATTAAAATTTCTGTTAATAAATGCATGAAACCAAAGCCCAAGGATTGGTTAGATTGGAGATTAAAATAAAATCTAATAATCTATAAATAAATAATAATATTATATTTATTTTACGTTATAATTATTATACATTAACATTATTTTAAATTATTTTTGTTTACATTAATTAATAGAAAAAAATTTATTTTGCAATATATTTATATTTTACATTTTAAGAAGAATCAAACATAAATCACAGTATATCCAAAAATATTAGTAAATTTTACCTAATTAATAATTCAAAAACTAAAAAAATGAAGAGGTAAAAATGCTCACAAGCGCCCAGATGTTGGAATACAAAATTTAAAAATAAGTTGTTAAGTTTTGACTTAAAAGAAACAAAGACAGATCCACGTGTATTCGTAAGTAGAAAAAATAAATAAATATTCATTGTAACTATTTTTGTAAATGATGAAATTATAGCAGAGATGAATGACGAGATGATGGATATGATGGTGAGGTACCTGAAGGACAATTTTGAAACGAAAGAAAGCAAATTTGATCATTTTTTAGGGATTGAAATTGATCAAAGACCTGATGGCTCAATCTTTATACACAAATCCTCATACTGCAAGCGAATCTTAGAAAGGTTCAATATGGAAAGTTTAAATAATATGCATATTTCAACAGACCCTCAACACTTATTAAATCAAAATTTGTCAAAATCGCCACAAACGGGGAAAGTTCCATACAGAGAAGCTGTTGGAAGTATGTTATATCTAAGTCAAATCTTAAGACCAGATATAACATTTGCAGTAAATCAAGTTAGCCGATATTTAGAAAAGCTTCTGATAATACACTAGAATGCGGTGAAACGTATTTTAAAATATTTAAAGGGTGTTTTAATTATGGTTTAATTCATGATTCTAGTGTAAAGCTCCAGTTACATGGATACAGTGACGCACACTATGCGAGAGACACAATAACGAGGCGATCAACATCAGGATCCATATTCATGATGAACAATGGAATTGTGGTATGTTGCTCACAAAGACAGAAGTCAGGAAGTAACACTTTCTACCACCGAAGCAGAATATATAGCCATGAGTCAAGCATTACAGGAACTTATTTGGTTAATGTTACTTATAAGTAGTCTTCTGGAGACACAGAGAGATACACCTGAATAGGTGTATGCAAACAACCGAAGTGCCATCAAACTTATGAAAAATCCTGAAATCCACAAGCGTACAAAACACATCGATAATCACATCACTATATTCGTGAGAATTCAGTGAGGGGATGTTTTTACTGGAGTACGTGATCAGTAAGAAACAATTAGCTGACATCTTAACCAAGGCAATACCAAGAATAAGATTCCAGGAATTCAGACGAAAATTAGGGATCAAACATATAGATACATAAAATATGTAAAAAAAAAAAGGGAGTATTGTTTAAGGGGAAGTGTTGAAATAAATAAACAAGACATCCGGCACATTATGTATGTAAGATTTCACACCTTATAATTAAGTATAGTCACTCATTTCTTTATATTAAATGCTTACCACATATATTTTGTTCAAATGTAGTGGTAATACAAATCTTTACACACATGACGTAATATATACGTCAGTTAGTCGAGGTATACGGCCTGTTCTCTATATACGTTGTTTGATTTAATATTATAGTACATTTTATATTACAAACATATTTTATACTTATTAACCTATTCAACTTAACACAAGCAATATCAGAAACTTCCCGGGTGCAATATACTTTTATATTACATTTATTTTTTTAATAGTCTGTTCTTACTACTACTTATTTTATCATATTTCATGAATTTTTAAATATTATCATAAGGTATAATGGGTATATTGAAAGTACCAATATTATACTAGAAAATTCAAAACAGAATAGAAATGTTAATAATTGTTTATCAACTTATGAGTTATTAGCCTCATCAAGACAATTGTTATTTAATGGATTAAATTTAAGTAAATTCAGTAAGTATAAAAACAAAAAATAAACATTACAAGTTTTATTATTAATTTCATTCCTGTCATTTTTTTTTCAAAATGTTTCGTTTTAGGTACTGATAATATGCTTGAAACAAATGATATAGTAAATATAGATGAATTTATCTTACAACTTTCATCTATTGTAAGGCAGTTGATTTTTGATAACCCTAATTTAAATAGTTCAGATAAATTTTACAAGACTATTTTGTATGTTCAAGTATCTAAATAGTTTATGTTCTATAAAACCCAACATTATTTTAATTTTTAGACCCATTAAATAATGATGTATTAGACAGTTTACAAGCAAACATTGATACCACAAAACTAATTCATTTACTATTTTCAGACATAGAACAGGGATTAATTTATGCAAATTCAAATTTGAATATTGAAAGTAAAAATTACAATACATGTTTATTGAGTTCTAATATTACTAATATTTTATTTTTATTATGAATATATTGCACCTAATAATATCTATTATATATTTATTATTACATATAATAATAATTAATTTTATAATTTATTATTATTATTGTGGTTTTTAACATTCAGATGTAAATTTCATACCTGAGACTCCACAAACAAACAGAGACATCGGCTAATTTATTTATGAACTAAGATCAATTACTACTGGTAAGTATATATATATATAAAACATATAGGTAATAAATTACGATAAATGAGTAATTTATTTTATAAGCCTAAAACTTTCAATAATGTTATTAATGAGCCTGTTAATGATGTATTACTGGAAAAAAAGTCGAGTAGAAAGAGAAAACTTAATTCGAACAATTGAAAAAAAAAAGTATTAAAAGAAAAACAGGCAAACAGTATACAACACAAAAAAGAGTGATTGTTCCAGCAAAATGAAGATCAGCTGTGTGTCAAAATGTCACTTTAAAGTGTACCACTACAAGAAACAAGAAAACTTTTATTTGAAGCTTATTATAAGATGGAAACTAATGTAAAAAATACATATTTGTTTAAAAGTTTAAAAAAATTTGAGATCTCCTGTATAACAAAAAACGCAACAAGAGTTAGATCATTTAGTTACAAATATTTTGTTAAAATTGGTTAGGTTAGGTTAGAAAAACAAATTTGTAAATCAGCCTTCTGTGAGATTTTTCAAATTGGCCATAAGAAAGTTAATATCATTCAACAGCGACATATAGAAGGTGTATCTCCATGTGAAGATCTTTAAGGTAAAATTCTAATCGTCCCCATAAGATACAAGATCATATCATAACATTTATTGTGGAACATATTAATTCATTTCCTGCTGACTCTTTCCATTAGTTTAGAAATAATAACCCAAATAGAAAGTATTTATCTTCTACATTAAATATACATCAATTATATTTTCTATACATTGAAAAATGTGATGAAAAACCAAACCTCAATGTTAAAAGGTAAAAAAAGAAACATTTAGAAATATATTTTGCACAAAATTTAATCTTGATTTTAGAAATCCACAAAGTGATACTTGTAATAAATGTAACTCGGGTGAAAGTAAAAATGCTGAACATATTAATTTATATAAAAATGCATTTGAAGTACAAAAAAGAGATAGGACATATGCTTTAGAAAATCCTAGCACATGTTTTATGACAATGGACTTGGTAGCAAACAATGCCATTACCTAAACAGTCAACTTCAAAAGTATTTTATTTTTGGCAGATTTGGTTCTACAATTTTTACAATAACATCAGAAAATGGACACAAACCATTTAAGCTTAGCTGGACTGAATAAGTGGCAGGTAAAGGTAACAATGGAGTTGGAAGCTGTTTAATGTATTTTTCTCAACTTTATTAGTTAACATTTCAACAGAATATTAAACATCTTATCACATGGTCTGATTCGTATTCTGGACAAAATAAAAACTTTAATATGTTTATATCAATATATGGTTTTGAAAGGTTTATATGAAATAATAGACCATACATTTCCAGAAGTAAGATATTTGTATCTCGACTCGGACCGAGATTTTGGCAGACTCGAAAAAATACTCAGAAAACATCAAAATATTTATACACCAGAGGAATATCGACAAATAATTAAAGAAGCAATCAAAAAAATGCTGTCATTTCAGACATGAAACACCATTTCCAAAACATTGAAAACTGCCATCTAAATTACGTTTAGTAAATAAAATAAAAATATTGATGGTGAAAAAGTATATTTTCGTGATAATATTAAATAGATACGAATAAATAAATTTGGTAGCTACCAATATAAAGAGTCACATGATGAACCTGTTCCACTTAAAACAGTGCATATTCTTAAGGATAAAACAAACAATGCTAACAACTATACTTTAAAAAGACTGACTGAAAATATTGGGAATATATCTAAAGAAAAACTAAACAACATAAGAACACAAGTGCAGTTTGTACCTGATGAGTACAAGTGTTTTTATGAACAATATTTTCTATTATAATTTTATTTTATTATATTCTGTTTTTCAAAGTACAAGTATTATTCCTGGTAATATTATAAAATAAATATTAATTTAGTTAATATTTGATAAAAGTAAATTATTTTTTCACTGGATTTTAAGTCTTCAGTTTTAAACATAAAAGTTATGTAATATATTTTTTTTTAATTAATCATATTTATTTTTTCTTAATAACTCATTTATTCACAGTACCTATTACATGTTTATACCATTATTTTATGGATTAAGAGTTTAATGATGTTATTTAGTTACTTGGTGGAAATACAATATCCAAATTATAGTATGTTAAAACAATTTCAAAAATTTCAGTTAACACCTTTATCCAATGACCAAATTATTTATTTATTTTACGGTGATCAGGTTAGTTGGTCGATCAGAATGTCTATAAGTCAAATAGGTTTTTGTATAAGTATCTTTAACTCTATTCTGCATGCAACTGATGGTATTTCTGACCACAATAAATTAAAAGTGTTGAAGCTTATAGACCAGAGGTTTATTTTTAATACTGATATGCATTTTTATCATTGCTACACCAATAAAAATACACATTTAACAATAAAAGTCATGACTTCAATAAGTGGTTTATAGAGTTCAAAACTTAATTTACTCAAATCTAAAATCATCTATACACAACATCATCTGAGATTCTTACATCAAAACCTCCTTGACACGCAGATATTTCTGCAAATGCTGAACCAACTAACATGACAACCATCAATAAATAACAGAATTATTGTAGAAAAAAATTTTAAATTTAAAAAAATCTTGATTCATTTACAGTAAAAATATCTACTCAATTCTGTTATAATCTGCTATAAGTTAGATGCTGGATCACGCTCATTTGAATTATTGTTTCTCATTATTGACAAATAACCTAACATTTAAGTAACCCGATAAAAATAAATAAATCTAATTAATATTTTTTTTATAGCAAAGATAAATCAAAAGTCTCACATATAATGTAAATCACTATAATCTGTCCTATAAGAGATCATGCTGGATTTGCACATGTAAAATAAAATACGTCCAATCGCGTAGGACATTGTATCTCCTCCATGCATTTAAATTTCACAAGAATATGGTAGGGTATGTGCAGAGCTAACTAGTTTTCGTTTATATTTGGGTATAGTCAATCTGAGTGTACTATGAACTTATGTATAATAGTGATATACTGTTATGTCTTAATTGTATGGAAATATATTATATAGTTTCAACCACAAAATGTTTACCTAAATTTATCATAAAAATATAAGATTCAAATTATACTTAATAAAGGAATTCAAAAAAAAATACATACATTTAAGACAAATTTTTGGAAGAGATCTATCAACTTATTTTTATGGATATTATGGTAAATGTGCTTGTTCCATATAGTAAACAATCATTATGACAACCTAATTCACAATGTACCCAATTGATTACACACTTAAATACCTGCAATAAATAAATACAATTAAATTAAAATATAATAAAAAATAATTATGTAAGGTTCAAGTTTTTTTTCCTAGACATATATATTTGTATATCATGCCAAAACTTACAGATCCACTCAAAATTTAAAAAATGTTTTGAAAAAGCTACTACTTACATTTTGTTCTATTAAGTGTTGTAAGTGAAATAAGTAATTGGTTATTTTTTTTTTTTAGAAATAACTTTTAAATGACTTTTATAACATATATAATAAATTAACTTTAAGTTAACTTTGAATACAAGTACTAAAATTATGTTTAAATTTTACGTAAACCAAGGGTTTGTACCAAAAATAATGAATTTAGATTTTAAAAATTAAAATTTTGAATTCAAAATCAATATAGATACACTTAATAATATGGACTAAACCTTTTAATATTTCAGGTACCAACTACCTATATTAATTGCTGGTATTGGATGTTTAGAAAGCTTAGAGGACATTAATTTATATTAAAATGATGTACCAATTTTATGGTTTTGCTGTTAATAAATAAAATTAAAAAAAAAATAAAAAATAAATACATCAAAACTTTGAACTTATGTACACTTGTTAAGTTTCTTTAATTATTTTCAAAAATCTTTGTTAATACTATAAGTTGCATCAAAATATATATAGTTAATTACTCTATAATTAGTTATTTGAATGTTAATAGTGTTATGCTTCTAAATTTATTTTATTATCATGAAATTTACATTTTATTATATATTCAATTCTGAACAAAACGATAATCGTATTGATTTTACAATGATATATTTCTTTTTTAATATGTGTAAATACACTAACAGTAGAAAAAATACTTAAATCTTTGACTTTGAAAGTGATTTCTGATAGCAAATTAAATCTGTGATTAAAATTGAAAAATTAAAATAATTAAAATAAAATAATACTATAGAACAATGTTTTTAATGTATGTATTGGAAGTGTGCAAATCAAATTGTATATAATATATGAACATATATTAATTTAAACTCTTCACAATTCAGTTTTCAATGGTTTTAACATTTCAACTTGTGCTATGATTTTCGATAAAAGTTGATAACATTTATTATTTAATTAACTTTTATCTTAAAACCTAGAACAAAATTTCCTATAAATAGCTCCCATAAACTGGTGTTGTTTTTATACATATTAACATTATTAACTTTAAAGTATAAGTATATAAACATTATTAACAACCTTAAATATATAGAAATAATAAAAAAAACTATAATAATATACCTATTTACCTAAAAAAAATTATTTATGATTATTGAAACAATTTAATATTAATTAATAATTAGTATTCATTAGTTAATATTATTTTTGAATAGTTATAAATTAATATTTTATTTTGTTTAGCAATACAAGACAAACTCACATTAGTGTTATATAACATAATAGAGTTTTAGGCTTAATTAACATTATTATGTACCTATAAATTTATTTATTTTTATTTATTTATTTATTTATTTATTTATTTATTTATTTTTTTGTAATAAAAAATTATATTTTAAAGATTGAAAAGTAAAATAACTTTATTAATTTCTAAAAGTAACTTATCCAAAACTGAACGTTATTAAAAAAATTAGAATTTAAATTAAATATATTGTAAAAAATCAATATATTTTTAATATATTCTTCAAAATTTGACAAGTATGTTATAAAAGTAATGAAGTGTTTTGACAACAAATAAATTTAAAGAAACCAATTGTATTTAAAAATAAACAACTTATGACTTATTTATAACATAGTCAACTGTAAGAGTATTGTAGGTGACAATATAACCTGGAGTCTAGGTACAGTTTCAAAATTGTACATGGTATGAGAATATTTTTATTTTTATGTTATATATAAAACATAATATTTATACTTTAAAAAGTGTCACGTTTCTATTCATACCAATAATGTATATTAATTATTGTTTTTAATATTTATTTAATTATTTTTAAGATAATTTCATTATGACTAAAGCTAAAATGTTATGATCTTTAAGTAATAACAATAAAAATTAAGTAATTTTTGTGAGCACTTAAAACTAAAGTACCAATTAAAACATAAGCAGCAATATGAAATTAATTATATGATGTAAATAAAATATCATTGAATTTAATATAGATATATTTTCTTATCTATTTAAAGCAATTAATTTCAAATCGTTGACAATAATGGACATGACAAATGATCATTCAGTTATAAATATAGGTATTTACAATTATACATTAAAAATGAGATGTATATTAATATAAATCCTTAAATCGCCCATCGAGGTAATCTAATAAGTATAAAAAATATCGCATATAATAATAATAATATAGAAGCGACAATTAGATAAACAGATGGTATGGTTTTTAGGTGTTTAGTGTTAATGTTATAAACGTATCGAGTTCTGCATGTCGTAAATAATAAAAAAAAAGAACTTACCTTTATTTTTCATAGTTTCGAACGGTTATATTTCTTACAATTAAGAAAAATAATGTTAGTCGCTTGTTCACGATTAACGTTTTCATATTTGCACACCGTACCATTTTATTGTTCCATATTGGAGTATATTATTTTGTTATGAAAGTGATAACTGATATGATTGATATGAGATCACAATAATTATTAAGAGGACGTGATACCCGCATGTGTTGTCTCCGTCTTACAAATGCGTAACATGGCAAATTTTACGCTCAGCAGATCACGTTTTGCTTCGTTAGATTAAAAATTAGAGTGAATTGACCTCTTATAAAATTTAAAAGTAAAAATATTATTTAGACGACCTCGTGGGCTTTTTACTATATTTTAATTTTGAAACGAGTTATAAGTATTTTAAGATGTATAGAAAATTTACAATTTTAAAATACTTATAACTCGTTTCAAAATTAAAATATAGTAAAAAGCCCATGAGATCGTCTAAATAATATTTTTACTTTTAAATTTTATAAGAGGTCAATTCACTCTAATTTTTAATCTAACGAAGCAAAACGTGATCTGCTGAGCGTAAAATTTGCCATGTTACGCATTTGTATGACGGAGACAACACATGCGGGTATCACGTCCTTTTAAAGATACCTATTGGGCAAAATTATTAGATACTAGTATAGAGTGACCATTTTGATAAAAATAAAAACGGGACAAACAAGTTTTATAAATATGATAATTTTTATTTTTTCCAATTACATTTAAGTTACAATTTAATATTTATTAAAATAATAAAATAATAATTATAATATGTTGCTCTTTTTAAAATTGTTTTATATTTTTTTACAAACATTATTTAATAATATGGAAATAACAGGATTAAAACAATAAAACTATACTATCTTTTAAAAACGGGATAAAAAGCGTATCTTTTGGAGTTTGTCGGGACAACGGGACATGATATCATGATGATCAAAAAAGAGACAATCCCGTTTGAAACGAGACGTATGGTCGCCCTATACTAGTATCTACTAGCTAATAATTAATAACTAGGATTAGGATAGTATAAACAGTAGACACGGAATAAATAATATATTATTCTGTGGTATAGAATTTTTTTTATATATATATTAACAGAATATAGTTTGAAAAGCTCAATACTTTATAGTCCATATGATTAAAGTGCGTCTACGTGTAGTAACTAATATAATAACCATGAGGTTTCGGGTGAGTCACTACTATGGGTGTATTCAGGCCCGGACTGGGAGAATACCAGCCAACTATTCTCAGTAAGGAGGCACCCATAGATACAATATAAAAAATACCTTTTTTTTTGCTCATTAATTGTTTAAAAAAACTCAATTAGTATATTATAAAATTGAAGCATGCGACTTACCGTGTTGTAGAACGGAGCACAGAGACGTCAGAGACCCAGTCCGGGCCTGGGTGTAATTAATTCTGAACAAAGACAGTCTGTCAATATATATCACATTTAAGTTTATTTAATGATTCTTATGTTGTTTTGATATAATTATTAAAGTAATTTATTTTACTATTAATATTAAGGTAAGTTATTATCATTTTTCAAAAATATTACATTTATTATTTAGTTAGTATTTAATAGATTACTAAAATAGAATAAAAGTATAAAATATAATATATTATCTTAAAATAAACCTATTATATCATCTGCAATGATATAATAGCTTTACTAATCATTTTTTGTAAATTTGTTGCATATTTATATCGGTTAACAGTTAGGTAGTTGTGTGGTGTCTGTAATATAGAGTTTATATGATATTTTAAACATAGGTGTCATGTAACATAGGCAATGGCATAGCTATGAGAGAGGTAAATGGGATGCTTGCCCCTCAATATCCTCTGAAAATTTTAGGTAAAAAGTAAATAAAGAACAACAATAATACAGGAAAAACTTGAGCCATTGATTTTGGTATTCATTGAAAAAGACATTTAAAAAAAAATTTCAAATCCAAGACTTTATGGATAAATTTACTGAACAAGATTGACGCATGAAATTATAAATGTTAGATGAATTGTTAAGAGTAAATTTGTAAGTTTGTAAAACAATTTACCACAGTAAATTTCAGTATTTATTTAAAAATAATACTTTTTTTTAAATAAATGTATGAAGTTGTGTAATATTAAGTCTTACATTGTATTATTGCTTTTATTATTTTCATTTACTAAAATTAATTACTAATAATTACTACTTAGGTGTATACTTGTATATTTGGTTTTATATAATCCATGATTATTATGAGTAATTTTGAAATTTTGCCCCCCCCCCCCTACTCAACTAAAATAAAATTCCTAGCTACGCCACTGAACATAGGTAATCGTTACATTAAGTTAATCAGTTTGTGTTTATAATTAGACTCAGATATCGTAATAATAATAATTATTATTAATACGTATATTGTGTGTAGTGCGTTATTGAAATGTGGCACAGGCACTCTATTTCTTTTACACTATTGTCACAAACAATTGCTTGTAATTAACTTCTTAAAAATGATCCGTGTTGATTATCGAATCCAACAATACTTAACATAATATGCGGGTATGGTATCTTTATTAGTTCATTACAAGTGTTAGGGCCGGGAGCATATAATTATGAATACGCGCGTCCCGGTCACTAAATACTTCGTACGCTGTGCGGTCACACACCGACCGACCTGTGTATGTGTGTATATTATGTGTTTAGCAATTCAGTAGAAGTGGATGGGTTTGCCGAACAAGACTATTGAATGCTAGTGTGCGGTAGGTGTGTAACTGTGTGTAATGTGTATGTGTGTAATTTAAAGCTAGGGAAATCAGGTAACTCAATACAAATAAATGGTAACTCTATGTTACGGTAATAGGATATATAATAATAATAAATAATATACTAATAATAATTATGGCCTTTTTTGCCCAACATGTAAAAATGTAATAAGAAAAGTAGCTATTAGAGCTACAATATTAATATTATAAGAATAAATGGCCCTTTTGGCTCAATTAACGTAAATAACAAGAATGTAAAAACTTTTTTAGACTAAACAGAAATAGACTTTTTTCTAATCCTGAAAAAAAGCGATTTAGGCTTATTATTTTCCTATTACTTAAGCGGCTATCCATACTAATCTAGCTATTCTATATAAAGTATAAAATATAAATAGAGAGGTATAGTACTATAGTATACCTTGAATATCAACTTATCGTATTTACACGCATTAATATATTTAACTTGATCGTTTAATACTTTAATCTTTACTTTAACGGTTATTCTATTTTTCATCAAAACAGTTTCTTAAAAAGAATACTAATCGAAAATATTTACGATTCATGATACATTTTCAGTATTATTTGGGTTGGAGCATAATATATTTTTAGGAGTGATATTTAGGCAGTTCATATTACATATATATTTGAACGGTGTCGTTGAGTAGTGAATGAACATCAGTGTGTGTAATCCATTATCTATGACGATGTTGCGTTGTCGTAGTCCACCGGCGCCTATCTATCGGCTGCAATACGCGGATATTCTCAAAACTACGATGATAGATGATATAATAACCAAAATAAATTTTAATACATATTTTTTTCTGTGTATTTAATTATTTATCCGACACTTATAAATGGCTACCTAGTACCTATAATGATGTTTCATTATAATACTAATTACCAGGGCTAGGATAGTATAGGATTTTGCATTTTTTTTTAGGATTTACAAGATATAGCTTTTCAAGCACAAAATATGATTTGGTCATCTACGAGTTCAAATGTATAGTTTTTATTTTGCATTTTTTGTACTTTTTTTAATTTAGGGTCATTTTTTCGATTTTACGGTCATTTTTTTATACTTTATTGAAATTTGGGTTATATTTTTATAAATTTTAAAATTTTAAATGGTCGTTATTGATCGTTATAAATTATTGTACAAACATATAAAGATACAACATTAAAATAAAATCATAAACATATGTTCTAAAAATATTTAATACTTCAAAATACCAATTATTTATATGTAAAATATAAAATATACTCGTTAGATTAACAGAGCAATAATCGATAATAATGTTCGATTACGTGTTATCTTCATCAATTTATTATTAAATTTAACGTGCCAATATCTATTCATTATACGTATGATATTGGCCATTATACCAGAAGATGAATTTATTTGTATATTTATAAATATTAATTATTATTTATTAATTTATTAATATAATTATATTTTTTTCGATAATTTTATGAGGTCATTTTTTCTTATTGAGTCATTTTTTTTGATAATTTTTAGTTTTTATTAGGTCATTTTTTTTAGGTTTTTTAGGTCATTAAAATCCTAGCCCTACAGTAATTACACATTTAAAAATTTAAAAATTCACATTACCTACGTAAAAACCAGATTTGGATCTAGGATTATTTTTGGAGGAGGGTGAGATTTTTCATATTAATTTTATAAACACAATACTCAGGATTTTATGTTAGGCCTTGAAATAAAGTATAAATCTAATTTTTTTAACATGAACTATTTTAAATTGTAATTTAATTTATAATAAATATTTATAGTTTATAAAAAAAGTTTGAAACAATAAATTAAAATATTATTAACACATATTATTACACCTACAACATAATATAACTCTCATAGAAGGGGGGGACACTCGTTCATTCTTTGAATCCGCTACAAGTACAAACCAATAATATGTTATTGTTAAGGTCATATTTTTTCTAATGATTTGATCAACACGTCGTGTTTTCCCAGAATGTAGAAATTTGTTTTAAGAATAATTATGTAATTATTATTACATTATAAAGAAATATAATTTCTTCTATAAAGTTGCCTCCCCCTCCCAAAAAATAAAAATATGTTTGTAATAATTATTTGCACGACCGTCTTATAATAAAACACAATAATACACATCGATGCCTGTGGCTTCATATTTTTGTTTTTTACCAAATTTTATGCCAAATGACAAATACTGACTATGATTTTTAGTAGATTCAGTTAAACGTATTAAAAAACGAATCACACCATTATTTTAATTATAAATGACATTGGGAATTGGGATCATCCGATTGTGACTTATAATGTTTATTGGAATTGTAAATAATGTC